GGTTAGGGGGGGAAGATAGATTACTCAGCACCTGCTGGGTCCAGCTAAAGATCCCTTAGGCCCCAGGGGTTATAGATAAGGAAGTGACTAAGCTATGCTCACCTGCTCCTATACTATCTATGCCTAGGGCCTACATGCTATGATTACTAGCTACCACATCATAGAATTAGCTATCTAGCAGCTTCCTGACTAGGGTGAGCACTTACTGAGTAAAGCCCTTAACCTAGAGGGTCTTAGTGGACTTACCAGGGTGAGCCTAAGTGAATTTAATAATATCTGTATAGTATACCATGAAATGAAAGGAGTAATCAGCAATAGAAGAGTTATCACTAGCTACTAGGGCTGGCTACTAAGCTATAATATTAAAATAACTAGGCCCCAGTGGAAAGTATGAGATAGTATGTAATTAAAGTATATGATAGTATATGATGCTAGAGTAAGATCTATAAGTAGCCTAACCCAGCATAGGGAGGCAGCCTAATAAGAGGGGGTGGAGCCCTAATCTAGTTAGGTGACTGCTCTGCCTGAAGGGTTGTTATTAATAGATAGCTAGAGCTGAATCTTAGAGGTCTAGGGTTTGGTGCCTCTGATTAGTAGGGAGATCCTGGGTGCTGGGGCCTCTAATTAGTGGGGTTAATCACTGCATGGGATCCTAATTAGGAAGCTGCAAATATGATCTATTAATTAAAATAATAGTTAATGCATATTTGACTATGCAGAGATGGCTCTCAGGGGTAGAGAGATCAGATTTTAGGGTCTATTAAGGTCCCTGTTTATTAACCAGCACGTAGTTTAGTGTTTAAGGGGCTAGCTAGCTAGCTTACTATTAGTTTAGCTTATAAGGTCTGGGACCCCCTGCGCGTGCTTATCTCTCTTAATAAAGGTAGAATCCAGTGAGAGAGATGAGCCGCATGAGTAAGTAAGGAGAGATAATTAAGATAGAATCTAGTAAGAGAGATGAGCTGCATAAGTGAGTAAGGAGAGATAATTAAGATAGAATCTAGTAAGAGAGATAAGCTATATAAGTAAGTAAGNATTAAGATAGAATCTAGTAAGAGAGATAAGCTATATAAGTAAGTAAGAAGAGATGATTAAGATAGAATCTAGTAAGAGAGATAAGCCGCGTGAGTAAGTAAGGAAAGATGATTAAGGTAGAATCTAGCAAGAGAGATAAGCTATGTAAGTAAGTAAGGAGAGATGATTAAGGTAGAATCTAGTGAGAGAGATAAGCTGCATGAGTGAGCAAGGAGAGATGATTAAGATAGAATCTAGTAAGAGAGATGAGCCACGTGAGTGAGCAAGGAGAGATGATTAAGGTAGAATCTTCTTAATCTATATTAAAAGCTTATATTCTTTAAAAGTACTTCTTAGGCAGATAATAACTATAACTAGGTTAAGAAATATTATACTAAGCTTAGGAAGATCTTTAACTATTATAGAAAGAAGTATTTATAGGCTTAAACTTTATTATCTATTTAAGTACTACTAATTAGCCTAAATTATACCCTTTATAAGTTAAAATAATACTAGATTTTTCTAGATAAAGTATCTAGTAGTAATAAACTTTCTAAATATCTTAGAGAAAGTAAGTCCCTCTTCCCTTACTATCCTTCTATTAATCTAATTATAGTAAGATTTTAGGTTACTTTTTATATAATAACTCCTTTAATATTCTTAACTAGTGGAAGAAGAATATTACTTAATATCTAATACTTATCTTAATTACTTAAGACTTTCTTACTATCCTAGTAACTAGTATTAGGCTAGAGAATCTATTTAGTATAGCTTAGGATATCTATTACTACTAATATAGCTACCTAAACTCTAGGATAATATAGTCTATTATACTCTTAATATGCATAGATTAATTTAAAATTAATTAGGAATTCTAGTTTTTACTTAATAAGGTTAGTAAGATAGATATTAACATAGAGAAGGATAATCAGGTTAATTAGAATATTAAATAGTATATTAGTAAGGCTAAAGAAGATTAGGATAGCTTTAATAAAGATAATAAGATAGATATATCTTAGTAAGAGGTGTCTATAAGAAATAGGTCTAAGGAAGGGGATTCTAGTAAAGAGGGATCTAATAGAGATAATAGTTATCTATCTATAATATAGATTATTATTTCTTAAGTAGTATCTTAGGCTTAACTAAGTTATCCTTGCTATATAAATTATTAACTAGGGTATTTTAAAGAGCTTATAGAGGGGTAAGTTACTTAGTAGATTTTTAATATAATTAAAGAGTTCTGCTTTATTATCTTATCTTTATAAAATCTAACTATAGTTAGAGTACTTAATTAACTTAACCTATTTTTTTAATATATAATACTTCTATATTACCTTTAATTAGATTAGGCAGTTTCACCTAATCCATAAAAACTATAAAAATTAAAACTAATAGTTTTCACTAAACCTAAATCCGGCCTGGGGTAGAGAACTCAAACCTAAAGTGATTCCCTAAGCTAGGCACTGAACCCTCACTGCTATAGGTTTGGTGAGGGTTGGATTTGATTTTTGCAGTTCAGTTATGCAACTCTAAGTGAAACTGAGTGGAGTTGTTTACTAAAGAGTTGTAAGAGAAGTGATACAAGTACTCCGCAGTGAGTCAAGAAAAAGAACGACTCATCGATTGAATCGCCGATCATCACACCTTATCAATCCTTATTATCTCCTTAATATCCGGCTGATACTTGAAGACCCGAAGAGAATGCAACCCAAGACTTCCTGTCTCACCGTCCCATTCTTTTATACCAGTCATTTACTGCTATAAAGACCCCTCAAGCTTGGCGACTTGAATCTATAGCTCGGCAATTTACACCGTGTGTCTAATTGGCGGATCGGATATCCCTCATGCAAAGCTTGCGGTTTCATCATTCATAAACCCATCCACTCTCCTACTCTCCGGCTTCAACTTCCCATCAACCGAGACAACCTCTGTTTACATTCCTTCTACAGCTAAAGCAATGACAAACCTCCAAGTGACACTCTCGCCCGTCCCTCCATCGCCCGCTCAACCCATCAGCCTCGCCATCAATTTCGCCATCCACAATCCGGCAAATACACCAGTGACTTTCCTCAACTGGGGGACCCCGTTCGATCCCAGAGCCAACCTCCTGGGCGTCTTCCAGATCAATGACACCAGTAACAACAACCCCATCACACTGGACACCATCAAAATCAACCGCCGGCTACCTCCCTCCCGGGATGACCTGGTCGAGATCCCGGCAGAGAGCTCAAAGGAGCAGACCGTGACTATTCCCCAGGTTCCCCTGGAAGAAGGTCACAAGTACGCAGTTCAAGCAAAGGGCATCTGGCATGGGATCTGGCATGGGATCTGGGCGTGTACGCGGGACGAAGTGACAGACTCACAGCTAGAGAGCCTGGGCGAGGGAGAGGCGAGGGGGAAGTTTGAGTCCGAGCATGCCGTCTTCGAGGTTACTCAGTAGCACGGAGTACAGCTAATGGATTTGTTGTACATGTGTAACTTGACCTAGTGTATAAGTTATACCCTCCCACACCATACACCCTACACCCCATTGTAATAGTGCGATAAGCAAAAATGCAAAAGCAAAAGCAAAAGCCCATCAACATCCCCACCGACGCAGCCCGCGTCTTGACCGTCCTCTCAGCCGGCGTAATCGCAATCATCCCCTCCAGCGTGGGCTATGGGATAGTAGCTACGGATCTCCTCGCGCTCCAATGCAACTCTGACGTTCTGTTTTCGTAGCCAAATTCTCTTGACCAGCGTTGCTACCTTCGTTGTATTTCAAGTTGGGCTTATGGATCAACCATAACAGGTGTGGTTGATGACTCTTGAAGTAGCTGTGCCAATATTCGCTGGAAATTCTGCCCTTCTTCGCCCGTGCAGGTGCCGAGGTAGTATCGTATCAGAAAGTCGCACCTTTTTATGGAAATCTTACATGTTCAACTGGCGAACAAACAAAGTATAATTGTTGTGCTTGAAGAAATCAGGAATCAGGGTCGTTGCGAATGTGTCTTCGTCCATTACAATAAATGAATTTCCCGTTGTCGTACCAATTGGACGTTCGCGGGATCATCTAGGAGTCTAGAACGCCTAGGCTAGAATCTATATTGGACTAATTACGCTTCGATCGGTATTAAGTACGCCAGACTTGGTCAAATTTTGGATAAAGGAGGGATCTGTTTCCTTCTAGCCAGCGCCTTCTCCTTTGCGATTGATGCTCGCCGATATGCCTCCTCTGCACGTGACTCATTTTGGGGGTGTAACTTATATATTTTAGCTACTACCTAGTTCATAACTTCATACACTCACTCTTCCATGTACATATCCTGCCGCTCTTTCTCTTTTTATTCACAGCCCATCATGGCACGTACCGGTGGTCGATGTAGTCGCCTTTTACGGCCTCTTCCGGGGTCTCGACCAGATCTGCTCAGGCGTCTCATGAGCCCCTTACTCTTACCCAACGTCCCTTGGGAGCAAAGATTTCGAGCATATATAGATAATGTAACAGTGATGCAGGTCGATGAAAAATCTGTCGTTCTCTTGAGTCAGGACCACCTCAATTATATGTCATGCAACAATTTAGACATTTATGATGAGCCTGATGCTTTTTCAGGCCCACAAGTGATGTCTGGGGACTTAACACGTCTGTGGAAGGCCACCTGCGTGTATGAACAGCTTGCTGAAACACACCCACGAATTGTTCGCTTCGATCATCGCGACCCATTCTTTGCGGTTCCTATCCTTGACAAGCCATCAACTACAGTTGATCAGCTCATGGCCACGCACAGATCGACCATGTACTCCAATGCGGATGGGCCGTCACGAATTACGCCTAAATATCGTCTGCTAATCTACCAATGGGCATTGCATCTCATCTCAGCACTATCCTTTGTGCACTCAAAAAACATTATCTTTGGTGATCTGCAAATTGAATTATGCTGGCTATCATCTTCTCTTTTGCTCTTGCTGCTCAGCTTTCTTGACACTGTCTACTTGATAGTCAGACAATGAGGAAGTATATTAATGAAACTGTGAGGTATGAGCCATTTCATCCCTGCAATATACCGCGACAACATAGTCAAGTGGCTACGGTTTATACCGATCTGTTTCTCTGGGGATGTCTTGTCTATCAGCTCATGACGGAGTCCTGGCCTGGCCATGAAAAGGACAGACAGGATGCAGAGCTGCGGCATATGGTGGTGGAGCACCAATGGCCAGTCCTCGAAAGGGAATATCTAGGCGATATTATACGAAAGTGCTGGGAATACGGCTACGCGGATGCCGAAGAGTTGAAGATGGACCTGGATGGCTTTTTGGCAAACAATGGCTGGGAAGTTGATGGTGATGAGCTACGTGGGTTCGGGGCTACTGAGCTCTTTGAGGAGGGATCGATTCCTGTACGGTAGTGGTTTTCTTTGTGGACCGTGGAACCATGGCATCATGCGGCATTCTTTCCTGGATGACCACATTTGTGTGGATCTTAATTCGTTCTCTGCTAGTGAAGTAGGATACCATGATCAAGAATTGTTGGCTTAATGGAAATACTCATAATATCACTGGACTTATGTTCTAGCTTTGGGGGGCTGAAGAGTAACACGAGCGCTGACATTGCCTCAAGGACGAGTCCGTCTCGTCGGCAACTATTCCTCGTTTTGAATTGGCCAGTTTTTGGTCATCTTCATAATTCCAGCAGTCAAAGTCCGTTGGCCCAACGCTTTTGCCAGGGCCATCATAATGGATGCATATCCAAAACAAAACCCAAAAGAAAGACTTCAGATCATACCAAAACAAATGCTTCTCTCCTAGCAGCAGCTCTATGGCCATGAATTCCTTGTCCCGGTCTTGCTCATTGCGCCCGAAGGCTGGTCTCTATGTTCCTTAATAGCAAGATCCAAGTCGACACCAACTTGGACGATTCCAGGGCGTTGGGTTGACAACAAATCTGTGCAGGACGGTTCCTTTTACTCTAAAGCTAGTGATAAAATTCAAGAGTCATTTCTTTTTAGCTCCTTGCCTATAATATATATCGTTACATGAGTCCTTAGGATAAGTCGGTGCTTGGATATCCTCATTCCTCCATCATGCCTATCCGCTCCATTTTCCTGTGAGTAGACAGGTGCTACAACCCTCTCTATTGACACAAAAGCATAGTTGCCGGGGCATGCACGGTGTGATGCGGACTGACATTCGTTTGTGCAGGACTGCCACAGACAGTAAATATATGGCAATGGGTGCGGACGAATGGCGTCAAGGCGCTCTTCACAGCAGGGTGCCCTGAAGTACACAAGCACAATTACAGTCACAGCAGTCCTTTTACTGCGACTGATACATGACGTTACTGTTCATGTCAAGCTGATTACAGGAGGGAGACCAATAGGAGATACGAATGCTCAGGTCAATCCTGCTCAGCTCTGAATTATTCACCTAGCCGATTCGTTGCTTCCGCCTCACCCAAACCTCCTTGTTGGTAGCCTCAGAAGCCCCATCAGTCGATGTGGGAGGGTCACGCAGCTGCGCCTCCCAAACCTTGAGCTTGTAGTTGCCACGGTCCGACTGCCCAGAGAAGAGATCAAAGGACCAGCCGTGCTTAGGACATGTGATACCGGCGCTGAGCACGACGCCAAAGTCTTCAATGTCAAAGAGGCTCCCCTGCGACAGTGGGAACGACGAGTGAGGGCATTGCTGGAAGGGTCAGCATGAGTCAATGTATCTGTCTTCATCTCACTCACGTGATCAATTGCATGAAATTTTCCTTTATACTTAAACACAAGGACCTGATCTTTCAAGTCGCCTGGTAGGTCAATATCCGCTTCGACCGGACACTCAGCCTCTTGAGGCCCGTTTGTATTGGAGTTCGGGATCCGAAAAGCTTTGCACTTCGCTGTGATACGACGGCCATCATAGTCGATATCGAGGTCCGGAAATGCCGATGCAAGGCCGACCTTGTGCCAAGCTCCATCTCGACGAGATGGAGCTCTGAAGGGGTTCATCGCTGGTGTAAGCGATCTGGCGGTTTCTCTCACAAATTGGGTGAATTCGGCATCGCGAGACGAGACTGCCTGAGCACGTGATCTTCCACCATCAGGTCACATGCCACAAACGATTGATCGTATCACGTGACTAATTTTGATATCCGGGGAGGCGACGAGAATGAACACGTCTTCTCCTTTCGCAATTACCTCATTCTCAGAGGTCCATAAACCGTGGATTTGTTCAGTTCACCGTTGAAATGTGCCTCGGGGCTGCGCCAGTTGTCGCTTCCAGCCAGCATAACCTGAATGCACCTTCCCTTGGGATGTTACGCGGCAATTTCTAGGTCAATGATCGGAACGCCTTCAATGATCGGTTTCTGACCTTCTTGGCGGCAGTCAATTAGGACATTGTCTGGATTGATATCTGAGGCCATTAGTTCCCAAGTTTGCGAATGCGCTAAGGCAGATTACCGAGATGAAAAATATGTCTTTCATGCAACCAGCAGTACCTTGCAGGCAAGTTTTTAAAATCTTTCCGAGCTTGCATGGGAATGCCTTTCCAGACAAGGCGTAAGTCATCCGTCAAGTATCTATATACGATGGTCTGGTAGTGTCGCATGGAAATGAGTAGTGACTTTCATGGATGGGGCTTCTCGATGAAGTTCATATAGATGTCCTTTGGTGTGTCTTTCAAGACAAATTTATCATGCCCAGATCTAGAAGATATTAGTTCGCGATCGAAATTATTGAATTATAATACCACTAGGCCCAAAGGGTGTCCGGACATGGTCCTCATCAGTCTAGGGTCTCACTCTCATATCCATAGTTATACTGGTATTATATTTTAACAGAAATAATCCCAACCAGCTTCATGATCCAAACCTTGCCAACCAGACACGTCCTAAACTTCCTGGGGATAATGCTTGCCTAAACTCTTGATGGGAATCTCCAAAGTTGTATGAGACCTGTCACTGTCCCACTTTTATGAGTAATTCCACTTCCCTTGTTCGCCCGGGTTATTTCGACAATACTTAAAGCTCCAAGCAGAATGCCGGTATGATCAAACGACTTCTACAGCAAAGTCATCCTTTCCTTCCACCCGGAAATAATCGACTACCTCATCTTCAAGAGTCATATTGAGCCATCAAAAGCCAACTTCGCAACGGTGTAGGAGAGTCACGTTCGCCAATGTCGGCAGTGCAAAGGATACTCTAGCTCTACGAGCGTCGTTTTCAGCAGCTATGATCATATCTCAACTAATACGTGAATCTGTGGTCAGTGGAAATAACGGTGAGAGAAAGGAGATCTTTCAGAAGTCTTTCGAACATGATAATGTACTACCCTACAGTACTGTTTAGCATCCAATCCTTCTTTGCGAGTGCTCCTACAAAACTAATGGCAACAAGGTATACCCTTTGAGCTCCGAAGTTGGAGCCTCTGGTGATCAACACGCGAGATGTTAATATAAGGTCGATTTGAGATGTACTTGATTCGTTCCTTGAAACCGGCGGTAGAGCTTATCTACAACCAGGGTAAACAGGTATCGAGCGAAGCCTAGGCCACAAGATCTCCTGACGATCAGTAAGCCGGAGTGATCTACCAAAGCAGCAGTAGCGTGATCATCTGGATCAATTGGATCGGCCTGTTTACATAAAAGAATCTATGGGTTACAAATGCCTCCTGAACAGATAGCTCAATTAGAGCATCGCACGTTAAAGGATTGGCCAATATTACTCTCTCACGCCAATCCACTCCCCTTCCTCTATAGCCTGGGTGGTCCAAAAGTCAGCATCGATGGACCACAGAAGCTTCAGAAAGCAGCATGACGAAGCCTATTATCGAGATCAATATTAGCACGGACCTCCAGGTTCTATAGGCGGTAAGAGGTGTATACGCTTTCGCCAGTCAGCGTTAGCGAACCGATTCATTGTGCTTGAGAATCTCATGCAACCACATCGGATGCAGTTGCGCCAAGGACTACCTTTTCGTGGAAAGTGGAAAGATGCATACAGGATGATTATTCTGCGAAGATGTCTCCAAAGAATTGAGAATCTTCAATTCCAGGCCAGATGGAGAAGTAACGAACTTGAAGAACTACAAAAGCGCTTGGTGGATAGGAACTCTATTCTCCGTATTACAACTTGTTTTTTTTGGGTAAAGCCAGGTATGTGTAGGCACCAAACTATCTCTGCAGGACTGCTTGGACCCGTAGCAACTTACGGAGGGGTTCCTTTGTTTTGAGATCCAACCTCCGGGCCAGGAGATATGGCCGTACATATGGTAATCCAGCGTTTTTAATGCCTTTCGGCTAGACTCTTGTGACATATTGCTCAGTGCTCACAATTTGCTTCTTCTCACAACGGTTGCAGCGCAGTCTTTCCATTTCTGAAGTCTGCAAATCCAGTTATTAGTGGTTGGATAATCTATTAATCTACCAATGACCGTATGACATGCCGTCGTGGTCTTTATTTGGGATATCTTCTGGTTCAGAGCAAAGGAAGCGAAGGATGTTTAAGGGTCTGTGCCATTGGAAGACTTATTTGTGCTACGGAGTTTAGCCTCCGAGTCAGCACATCTAAACAGAAGATGTCTGGAACAGCGTATTAGATTAAACTAGCTCATATCTTGACACAATATAGTAGGTGTCTGGAATTCAGCGGGATGTAGCGTGGGTCTGAAGGGGGTATTGACATTTTTCAGCCTTGATTGTGTGAAAGCTCCATATATGGGTTTCGTATGTACGAAAAAAGAAGCCACACAAGGACAAAGCATCCTATCACTCCCCAGGTACCCTACTCCTCGCTGATGGTAACCGGAACCTTGCCCATGATACCAGTTTCATTCCACTTTCCAATATTGATATTGTATCCTGGGTCACGATCACGCATCTCGAACATATTTCTTTTCCCGGGTCCCATAGAAGCATTCCATGCTAGAGTGCAAATCTTGGTATCCTTTACATCGTCGAAGAGGTCGATTGTGCCTTCCAGCCCTTTGAAGCCTTGTTCTTCGCCACAGGCACAGACATGGCGCAAGCCACCGTTATGGCGAATAACCATATCGTCAACGTCGTCGGTGGTTAGGGTATCGTTTTGATTATCCTCGTTATAAAACTCGCCGCTAAGCGATGTCAGATCAAACTGCAAGTCACTTTCAGGCAGGCTGAGAAGTAAATACCTGTCTATGTGAGCATTTTCAATGCGAATGTCATACTTCATGTCATCTTTAATTTCAATGTCGACGTATTGTTGTCCAGCTGCAGGTGCCATATCGATTCGATAGGTCGCTCGTGGTTGACACAGTGTTTCAAACAGTCAATTTGCAATGTAATGGAGATCTCACACGCTCAGAAGGGAACTGATTGTGCTCAGGAAGGAATGGGCACTATATACGGATTGGACGGATGCGGAGTCGATGACGGAGGTCCTCTTCTTTTTTTATGGTACGGTGCGGGGGTCCGCATCCCCCAATCGAGAGGATTGCCGGATGCTGCCCCTTCTTATTACAATAACCAGTCAGAAAGAGTAGTGGCTAAATTGTTCAGACGCATGGGTGGCACTTGCGCTGGAAACATCTAATAGCACCTGCTGTGCGTCATAGTTACGTTGCCATGACACTCCGCAGAGGACCACCAATCCTTAGATACGGCATGGTCGGGTCCCAATAATATTCCCGTATGGAATTGTGACTAAGGGCTTTGATAAACAAGACTCCCATTTGTTGGATCTAGCAAGAGTACCGTCCCTAAGCAAGCTCTACAGGTATGTACTAAATGCTGTTCTAGAGTTCTGTCAATGAATCAACAGTTAAGGAGTCTAACCATACAGAAGCCTCCATGGCTTGTTTGGTTACTTGAAATGCTTATACAAGCAGGAAGTGCAACGTCCATACACATGACAGAATTCGACGGAGTATATCAACATCTCTGTGTCCTCTTTGGCAAAAGCCTCACGGGTCATGTGACCTGCATCGAGTCTGGGGCAGGAATTCTCTGCTCACTAAATAGTCTCTTTTATGGACTTCGATGATAAGATGTACAAACGGGATGCGGCAAAGATTGGTGTCATTGCCAGAGATGGGCTTCCAACGGTCCAGTCACTACTTGCACAGCCTTCGTAGATATGGCGATTAGTATGGCTCCCAGAAGAACGGAAGACTGGTGACAGCCTGACAGGTGTGAAGGACAATGGAACGTCGAGTATACCGCACCCAACAATCTTCACCCTGCTCAACTTTGAAAGGAAAAGGTGACTATCGGACACCTGGCAGATGCAGAGAGAAGAATCAGGGACAATGGTAGGTACTAGGTACTCAGGTAAGGATAACATTCTCTAAAGATCCCTGAGATCTTTCGCTTCATAGCGAGAAGCAGATACAGAAATACCGCCTAACCTTGGCTTTGCAGAATCAAGCTGGTGGCTACTAGACTTAGTGTATACTATTCCGTGTGGGGCCAGTATGCCTCTTATCCTCGCGCTGATCAGATCATCGGAGTTCTGGGCCTTCTCACAGACAGTCACTACTCAACTAGTACCTAAGCTTATTCCCCCCCGGCTCTAGTAGGCGAATCATTGGCGAGTAGTACATACTGTAGACTGCAGTTCAAAAGGCAAGGCCCTTCTGACTTATTTTCTCCGTCTTTATGCCTTTGAAACTTGGTCATGGTGTTATAAATTCTCCTGAGTAATGCCTCGATTCCTTAAATAAATATGCCACTATGGAAGGGGAAGAAGCGGATAGCTTGCCTCATTTCGTTCCCATCTTAAGCCGCGACTAAGTAAAATTGTAGGCTCGAAATAGCTGGATTAGTTTCAAAGGCAAATACCGACCGGCGGGCCGCACACAGGTCATGGCAATATAACCCGTCTGGTGCAGTAACGACAGTTGTTCAAATGGCTACTGTGCTGATTTGGACGCTATGAGTCTTGTGATCAGTATAACCAGCCCGATCAACAAATATCTGGATATTCTGAAACGAGCATTGACACATGACTCTGTATCAGAGTTAGAACAGGCTGTTGGATCACACGGAGCTCAGAAAGCTTCCTGGTACACAAACAATCCGGAGCCGATCAACCATGGTAGAGTGATGTACACTTCTGGTTCGATATCGCAACTCGCCTCTGGGTCAGGCCACATCCTCCACAAGTATATAGCTTCCTTCTCCTCATCTTTCATTGCTAATGCGCCCGGACTTGATTTTTCAATAACTCAGCAATGCACTTCTGTACTTTGCCGTGACAGAATCTTGACCCATAGTTATGTTTGCAACGAGAACATCCAGTGTCTTTAGCAGAGGGTTGGCACAAACCCGAGACCCTTTTCTACCTGCCTGTTGGCTGACATTACACGATAAATAAGCCTAGCTGCGTTTGCAATTGGGGCCATCGTTGGCGGTACATCTGTATACCGATACACCATCGCGAAATATAGGGTGCCGCAAAATATCAATCTCAGTGTAAGTAATATACCACTTTCTCGTAAAGAGGTTCTTCGACATAAGTCAATCGTTAGCAGGAGCGGTGTGTCATGTTGGCTGGAAAGTGACCAGCTGTTTATTGCGCAGGATAAGCTGACTATAGGTTGTAGATGCTACAGAAGCGACTGCTAGTGCTTTCTGGGCGCGTTGCAGAACTAGAAAGAAGTAGTATAAGGAAACATTGATGTTGGTGGAATGGAAACGTGATTTGTTATGCCCTCTTATCCTTCTCCTTGTAGCGTTCTATGCTGAAATCGAAATATAGGATTTAGCTGGCAACTGGACATCCCTGTTACCTGTATACACCAGTAGGGCTCTATTATCACAGTAAGAGCAAATAGCTCAATTCAATTTTGGGCATAATAAGTACAGACGTGTCTATACTGAAAAAGCAAATATAATACATGAGGAGAAAATAGCAGTAGTACATCCACATCGAGCATATCAGCCATCAATCCTTCTTATGCCTGTCGTCCACATCCTTGTTATGAGTCCTTACATCTTCCGAATTATACTCCTTACCCAGCTCGCCGCTCTCCGGGTTCGGGCCCTCCCTGTACTTCTTGAGGGTGTAGTATTTTGTTCCCTTTGAGTCCACGACTACTGGTCGAGCCGACGGTGACTCTTTCTCTGGTGGCGGTTGCGGAATTTTTGCATCATTCTTTGTTGTTTCTTGGTCAGGTATATTGCACATTTGTCCAGTCTGAAACCCTCTCGGCCATCGATTACTCTGCGGCGTCTGCAGGCCGAATCTGTGGGAATTCCAGCGAAGAGCGAGTATAGCGTTGGGACGGGGGCAGGTTCCCAAGGAGACGAACCGCACACAGCCCTTTGGAGATATTGCACGAGACAGGCTGATATTCTGCATACTGACAGCTGCCGTTTGAGACGGGCAGGTAAACGCGTGGATTCTGTCATCAAAGCTGGCATGTCGCTAGGGTATATGTATATGTGGGCCCCATTGTTTGGCCGGGGGTGGCAATTTCCGGGTTCGGGTGACGTAACTATACACAGCCCTACCAGGGCACTGAGCTCGATATTCTTCCTGTGAATCTTGGTTGATATGCCAAAGTTTGGAAGCAAGTCCAGTGTGTGGTTGCGGAGGAGTGTACCAGAGAACACTAAAAGGCTATGAGATGGGCTGGGACCAATCCACGCATTCACCTTCTGACAGTAAACAACCCAGTGTTTAGCTACGGTGTGTTCAATCCAACATCAACATCTGCTCCCAACATGGCTTTTACAAATTCAATATACACATTTCTGGCAACTAAAGAGTGGTGTCTGACTTGCATATCCGCCGGCTCTCCATGTCATCTCCACTCCCACAAATCAGCCAAAGAACGCTGTTCAGTCCAATCTTTGCTCGTTCTTTTGCTGGAAAAGCCACATGATTAAAGGAGGCTAGGCTGTATGATTGTGATGACCTCTACTACTTCTGGTGTGGAGTCCTGTCTATCATTTTGTATAAACCCCAGTGCTCACAGCATGGTACCCCTTCCTGCCAACCTTCGCCGTCAATTCACTCCTCCATTCTATACCCATTGCCAACCTCTCCACCGTCTTCTCAAATGTATACTGTGGCTCCCATCCCATCTCCCTCATCGCCTTGCTCGAATCATACACCCGATCAATCCTCGGCAGATGCTTCCACCCTTTCTTCTCAAACACAGCGCCTAAACCCGGACACATCTCGTTAAACACCTCTGCCGGGTTACGGCTAAGCCTGTCAAGCGTGTGCGCATCATTCTTAAAGAGCGGAGGCGCGCTGATGATGTACTTTCCCCAGCGAATATCCCTCGCTTTCTCCATCGCGCAGACCGCCGCCCGCACGATATCCTCAATATCGCATCTGCGATAAGCAAGCTCCAAGACCTTCAGGTTCTCATCGTCCATGGCCGCGCGGCGCCCCTCGTCGTCGTCCTCTTCGGGGAAAAAGCGGCTCGTCCGGAGAACCAGCACCGGCATGCCGCTCTGCTTTTGTATGAGCGCGCAGACATCCTCCGCTGCGACCTTTGTCACGCCGTATATGTTTTTGGGTTGGGGAACAACGGTTTCATCGATCCATGCAGCGGGGAATCCCGGCTTGGGACTAAGTGCCATACCGAATGCGCTGGTAGTGCTGAAGAAGATGAAGCTCTCGATACGCTGGCTATATTTGGCTGACTCTTCGAGAAGGACTAGTGTTCCGAGAATATTCGTTGAGACAAAGTCCTCGTTAGCATGGCTGCAGATGTGTGGCTTGTGCAATGTTGCAGCGTGGAGGATGTGCTTGATGGGTTGGGACTCTAAGATGGAGCTGATGAAAGCTCGATCCGTAATAGATCCTACCCGTGTGGTGGTGGAGGAGGGCAGGATATCAATGCCAAAAGGTGTGAAGCCGAGCGAAGGAAGGGAGAGCATGAGGGCAGTGCCGAGGTGGCCTGCTGAACCAGTGACAAGGACATCATATGAAGACATTGCGATTCTCGTATGAGTTATGTATATACAATTCTTGCTCCAATTGTTGGTCTTCTGACAGACACAGAGTCAGCAAGTTGCAGGAAGTAAATCGACTGGAACTTCGTCCTGGATTTTGTTATCAATAATCATGTGATTGTAGGTCCCGTATACAAGAAACTGATCCATAATTGAATATCTGTGACTCATACTTGCTGTCGCTTCGGCTACTCGAATCGCTTATTCATCATCCATATCCTGAGAGGAAACTCCGTATTAATAACTTTACCAATACGTCTTGTGAAGAATCTGGCAGTCCTTGTAAAAGTTAGTTATTAGCCCTATATCGCCTATATGAATTTGGCTTGGGGAATTACCCGGAAATCGTCACTTGATGTCTCTGACATTTGGCGTTATTCAGATGGGACATCACACATTGGTAAATTATAGGAAGCACTCCATGAATAGACATTACTAAAGTAGAGTCGGATATGTAATGTTAGCAAAAGAAAGAAGCTGGTTAGTTACAGTAACCAGAATCACCACAGAATTTTCAAGGAGAGGCTCGTAAATAGCATAAAGAAAGCTTCCACAAGGATATCTTGATCATGTGACTCTTTAATATTAACTGAGTCTTTGTGCGATTTAAGCTTTGGTTGAGAGGGAGGGAATGAACCTTATTAGATATGTGAAATAAGTGCTTTCCTAGGAGCTATTTCCCTAACAATGACAGTATAGTGTATAACTTGCCTGGTATGCAAGAGAACTTCCAAGAGGCAGATTGAGACTACAAACATACATATCACTTGCGACACTAACATAGACATTATGAGGATTAAAGTTCCTACCAATTACCAATTCCTCCGTGATACTCTTTAGCATCGTTTGAAAGAATAAAATCGACTTCTTGATCGAGGATACCGAGAATATGCTCAGGAGGGAACAAAGGCTTCCAGCCAATCCTGAGGCCATTTCTTGTTGTCAAAAGACATCTGCGGAAAAGAAGTTACTCTTGTTGCCTTTGGACCTGAGAAAGGGATTCACGTACTCGCCACCCACTTGGACCGCCACCATTTCTTTCGGCGAGTCGAGCGCGGCAGCCATAGCAGCTAGAATATCATCGTCGGCCGGATGGACAGCACAGTCCATGAGGAGACCTCTTTTGAAAAGTGCAGTGGCAATGGATGCGTATACGTCTTTCCATGCAGCCCGACCACTTGACGGGGGGTAGTAACCATTTCGGCCATGGGGGATATCGTCAGATGACAGTATCTTCCGCAGTATCTCGACGTACAACATGGTGTTGTCAAGCAAATGGCAGACCGGCCAAGCCTGTCACTGGGACATTAGATTTGGATGTTATTGTGTGGGAGATTACTCACCCAATCGTCTCTTTCAGTCAAATTGTATACTCTTCCAGTTGCCTTTGCTGCTCTCACAATAGCAGCTGTTTGAATCGATATCTTGTTCCCGAATCCTTCTCCTTTACCATCTGTGCTGATGCTCAGTGCCTAGCTCTGCATGGTAAAGCGCAATAACGTACAAACCGCGCAGGGGCAGAATATGTAACTTTTCACACCGAGAGATTCGCTCAGCTCTATGATTCGACTGTTTGTTTCCACGCCCTAAGACATGATGAGATTGAGAAACAATTGATAAACTGTCCGACTAACCTGTTGCATGATCGGGAGCGTGAACCGCTGAGATTTCTGAATCTCGTATATGTTGGGGTCATCGTCGAGAAGCAGACGATCAATTGGGGCTCCGGCATGGTTGGAAAACGCCTTCGCTCCACTGGTCTAGATCTCGCAAAAGGAGTCAGCTGCTGGGAAATACAAGGAGCAAGAATGAGAACTTGCATGAAGAAAATGCACATCCTGTCCAGTTGTCTTGCTCAGTTCCGCCAACGCCCTGATAAAGGACTCTTGACAGCTCGAGCTGATTGCATCGACCAGAAAGAAGACAACATTTATTCTGTTTTGCAAGATGCTGTCGCGCACGCTGGCCTCGTCCTGCATATCAAACTGCAGGGGTTCGGCGGAGTACTGCTTTACAGCCTCGGCCTGGGCGACTGTTCGCACGAATGCAAACAGTTTGTGGTATTGGAGAGCTCTGCGCTCTTCAACTGCTTCAAAAGTGTGCCTCCCAGGTAACCTGACCCACCAGTGATAAGAATGTTGTATTCCATGACCGGGAGATAATTGACGGACTTGTACAATCACTGGTAACAGGTGATGGCTGGAAGATGTTTCGCAAATTGAGGAAAATAGGAGTATTCGTTGCATATCTTGGCTAGACTGTCGTGAACTTATATCCTTTGTGATAGAACCGAGTAAACATTGACGAAGGAGAAATCGAGGATTGCTAAGGATTGATAATCGTTGCGAGTAGCATCGGAGACTTTCTATTCCTCCGATTTTGTCAGTGCCGACGCCCTACTCGACTGAAGAATAGTGAGAATCACCATCACCATCACTGTTCTTGCAACTGCTGCAACTTCCATTGGCCATTGCACTGAAATATGAATTCCCGTTAGGACCTAAGGTTACTATGCTGGTGATATGCTCGAGAGGAAAAGAGAGCCGGACCTAGACGCACCAGTCCTAGTGTAAAAGAAAAGATGTCTAGGTCTGCCATCCGACTGAATATCCATTACTAAAGCATGGAGATAAATGGGACGACCTTCAACTCTCCTCCTGAGCCCCTGTCCCTCCAGTTTGCTTCTCGCTGAAATCGCTAATTCTAGCATCAAACTCCCACGCCTCGCGCAACCCGACCTGATCGAAGAAATCCTTGATCGTACGTCCCTCGCACACTTCAAGGTCCGTTCCCGTGGCTTTCAAAGCACCATATGACCGTTGCATGGCCAGCATCGCGGGAATAAACCCGGTACACGGGTAGATCGCAGCCCGAAAGCCCAGCCGATTGCACTCTTCTGTCTTGAGGTTGGGCGTGAGACCCTGCATGACGTCTGTCAGCACACCGATATGTATTCTCGATTGAGACTTTCTCACATTGGGAAGGACATTGATCAGAACAGGCACATCTCCCATCTCCTTGACCAAGGTCCGACACTCATCCTCAGTGCGCGGGGATTCCATGAAGACCATATCGGCCCCTGCAGCAGCAGCAGCCTTGAGCCGCTTGACCCCTTCATGGAAGGCCTCCGATCCGGCATTTAGACCGCCAAACTTCTTGGCTTGCCGCGCATCTGTCCGCGCGATGATGACAAAGTCCGGGTCCTGGCGTGCCTCGACGGCGCTGCGAACGCGCTCAATGAAGACTTCCAAGTCCACGACGTCTTTCCCTTGAAGCTGGCCGCACCGCTTGGGAAAGACCTGGTGCGGTTACAGTCAATACGGACAGCGTACGTCAGCATTGGGGACGTATCATACCTGGTCTTCAATGTGGAGTCCCGCGATTCCCGCGTGCTCGTACAGTCGCACGGTGCGAGAAATGTTCAGCGGTCCGCCAAAACCTGTATCCGCATCGGCAATGATAGGTAGCTCTGTGTGCAGCGCGGCCATGCGCCCCACCTCGAAGAACTCCGTCTGGGTCATGACAGAGAGGTCAGGTTCGCCGCAGTACGAGCCTGTGGCTCCGCTGCCGGCCAGGTACAGAAAGTCGAACCCGATCTGGCTTGCAACGCGTGTTGAGATCCCATCGAAGACGCCGGGTCCGATGAGGCATCGGCCTAGTATCTGTGTTAGGTATTCCAGCCAGGGACGGCGTGGACGTACCTTGGTTCAAGGCTTCCCGAAAACGTCTTGTTGGTCTGTTATTTTGGATACTACTCATCTTGCCTAAGTGTACAAGAGCATACAATGGCCTGGAGGAGGATAATCAATGGTACAGGGGGATTTCACCCCGCAGACCGGAAGGCCAGAAGAGGATGAAGTCATCGTGACGGAGGGACGGACAAGTCAGTATACTTGCTTGTTAGTTTTTAGCGTCAGACGGGGTGATTAACTCTTGCTTGGTTGCATTCAATTTAGAATAATGTTTGATAAATGGTATCAGTTTTTCGTGTTTCAACCTGGATGCGTAGTTACCATAGGCCGTACATGGCATGGCCGCGGCACACTAAGACAGCGAAAGACACAAAGACACCAGAGAAGACGCCATACGTAGAACGCATACCCTCCCATCAATGCCGAATGCCTTTCACGGGCATGTCAGCATGTAGCATATATCTACTAGTTATCGAATCCAAACGTCGTCCCCCACGGCTGATATCCTTCTTCAAGGAACAAATCCTGCAGTGCCCGTCTGCGGATCCCCACATTCCCTCCGTCAAAAATAGGCAGGACAAGCGCAGTGGCGAGGAGGGAAGTAAACGGCGTTTCAAGGTTATAAGCAGAGCTTCAACTGCGTTAGTTTGTGCAGACAACATCAAGATTGAAATACGTACACTCCCACTGCGTTGATCGCGTCTAGACACGACTGCACTGCTGCATCGGAACAATGTACCTTGGCCAGCAGTGCATGCTCCCGCCGCTGCGCATGCTCGCCAGGACCGGCTGTCAAACAGTGCGCTGCTTTCCACGTCAGGTACCGCGATGTCTCTGTCCGCATTTTGATGTTGATCAGGAGGTCCGCGACGGACTGACGTTGAGCGATGGGGACAGTGCCACCGCGTGGATCATGGGAGAATGCCAGGGCCACATCGAATACGGCTCGTTGGACCCCGACGCCCATTGCTCCTACGAGCATTGCTGTGGATGTCAGCTGGCTCTGCCTTGGGGTGGATAACACCAACCCGAGATCTCAAAGGAGTGTAGCACGATGGGAGCACCGGCGCCTGGCGCGCAGAGGACATTTTCGACCGGGACTCGGAGGTTTGTGTACTTTCTTTTCAGCGTCATTCGTAATCTGGAGGAAACAAATCCACAACCTACCTTAATATGAGGACCCGAGGTGGCTTTGTGTCCCGCCGTCTCAACATGCTTGAGGACCTGGAAGCAGTTCGGTCCGTTTCTCTGGATATCCTCCCGAGTAACAAGCAGAATCATGATGAGATCCTGAGGGCAGGAGGCCTGCGCAACCACGTCCTCATCAACGCATCGACACACCACGCAACTCAAATCGGCGCCTCGAAAGTCCCAGCCTGCGGAGTTGGTAGCCCATAGCTTTTCACCATTCAGAACCCACTCGTCTCCCTCCCGGCGTGCTGTTGTTTGCAACCCAGGCGCTCCAGGTTCCAGCCAATTTGCCTAAAACATGGTCAGTATGGGATATACTAGGACCCAAAAGAGCGGGAAAAAGCATACCACGCCAGCTGGCTCAGAAAAAACTAACGAAGCAAGCGGTGCCCCCTCGCTTGCAAGGAAGGGATCCAGAAATTTCTGAATTGAAGGCCGATAAGCCAGCGCGACCGGAGTCAAGCCCAGTCCGGTTCCGAAAATGGTCAATGAAGCGGACGCTTCGACGGCGTAGAACTCCTCTACTAGGATGGCAGCCTCGACCAAATTAGTACTGCTGCCCCCGATCTGGGCCGGCACCTGGGCCTTGATGAGATTAGCCTTGACTGCGGCCGCATAGATGGGTCGGAGACTTTGAAATCGCTCTTCGGGCGTTGCGAGGTCTGAGTATATTGCCTGAGCGCCGGCTAAGTGGGCGGCGGCGAACTTGCGTGCTGCTGCTCTTGTTTGCTGTTCGGAGCTGGAGAGGGTGAAGTCGACCATGTTGCAGTTGGATGAATGATTTGACCGTCTACCGTTTGAAGAGCCGGGAGCTCATGCCACGGTAGATATTTATTCATGTCGTACGAAACTAGACCATCCCCGCCTGCGCTGTCCGATATCTACCCCGCATGTATTACCAGGCGGCATGTGAGCATTCAAAGACCACGTCAGATCTTGGCGCATAGCTAATTGCATAAAGATTGATCAAAAGAGAGTTCAACTTGGATGCTGATTGAGTGCTGGCTGAGAAACCCCGCAAGCTGACATCAAGCCTTCGACTATCGATCTCCGTCAGACTCAGAGGATGCAATCAGACATGCCGCGTGTTTAGAGAGACACCGGTGCTGTCTGACAGGTATAAATTGGACAAGATTGTACGGAGTAAGTCTGGGTGATGACAGCAAGGACACAGTTATGCATGGCTTTTAAGCTAGAAACTATGGCCTTTCCACGCTGTGAATTGCCACTTTATAAGAACTAGTGGACCTAGGGAGTCAAACGAGGGAGATAAGACCTTGCCCACTCTCTTTTGCCCTTTTGCCCCCTCCCAGCTGTCGATCCCTCATAACATGCTTCGTACCGTATCCCGTCTATTAGTGCGCTGGTGTTCTAAATATTACTTCGCCATGTCCCTTGTTATCATTTTACGCGCACTGATCTAGTGCTATATGGAATGGTCCAGGCTCGATGTGGAGGGTGGCCAGAAGTACCGTGCTGGTATTGGCCCTTGTTGGTGGCCCCCCTGGTATGGCTCCCTCGTCTATCCCTCAATAGAGAAAGCCCGTATGGAATAATATAAATACTGGTTACTGAACTGAAAAGTTGAAGAAAATCCATCCTCTTCTGTGACTCCAAAGTGCTCCACCAGCTGGTCTGCTATCCCGGATCCGTTGAACTGAAACCAAGACGACATTGAAATTGAGGCACCTCTGTTAAGTAAGGCACTTCTTACCCTACTTCAACTTATGTTAACTTGTCAAAGAAAACCTCAAATAAAATGTTGAAATACGACGTTTGCACCCAGGAGCAAGTACGCTATGCATGCAATGCAGGTGTTCAAAAGATGGCGAGTTTGTGAAATGCGCGAAGCATGAAGATAAAGAGGATGAGAGATGCTCAAGCAGAACAATAGAGTACAAGGACGTCAAATTTTCAACCCATAAATGCAGGAAGCACCTGCAGAGCGCTTGAGAGTCTAGGGAGCAGACAAGGAAGTTCTCCTTTAGCCATGAGGGCATTACCGCTTGCCAATGCCTGATTCATCGACCAGCCTGGTTGCCAATGTTTTAATTTCCTCCTCAGCTGCTGTTGGGTCCACATCCCCATGAGCAGTGGAAACCTCAAAATCAAAAATTTTTGCACCATGTTCCGTCATCAGAAAGTTATACCTGTTGAGATCCCCATGCACAATTCCACATGTATGCAGCAGACAAACAGTTTCCACACAATCTCTGAGATTATGTATGTCTGGCGGTTGGCCCAAAATTTCTTCCATTAGAAAGCCAACTGTCCGAGCTTTTGTTTCCTCATAGACAAAGCCAATAAATCTCGGAGCCAGAGGAAAATCCATTGATGTTAGAGTAGAATATATCGAAACCTCTTGTTGCAGGGCCGGAATTTCATGTCTGAATCGCGCAATTTTCAGTATCCACGTCTCACCCTCATACTTGACTCGGGAGATGCGATCGCTGATCCGAGAGACCATTCTCAGGTCTAAAATGTTCAGAAAGAGGGCAGAAGGGATGTTAAGCTGGTCAAGGTCCAGCCCATGCGGCAAAAATTTGTTTAGACTGCTCTCAATACCCTGGTTGCCCCTCTGAACAGTAAGTGTTTTCCATTGCTCCTCCCACTTTGGAATTTTTCGCAGCTTTGAGAGAACACGGTCACCATCTGTCCTGCAATCAGGGGGAAGGATATCTCCGTCAAGCACAGAGACATATACAATCCGTGAATTTCTCCTTATTCGGTATAGAAAGTCATTTTCCTCGAGATCCAAAGATAATAATTTCTTAAATTCCTTAGTTGAAACTCAGCTGAAAAGGTAAATTCAGGATATGCTCTCACCTCATCAGGCGCTGCTGCGGCTGGCTGGCTGGGCCGGCGTCGGGGTGAGCTGAGACGTTTAGAAAACGATGCCATTCAGCCAGATGTTTGACCGAATCTGCTATCAAAACGGGTGAGAGACGCTGAGCATACTGAGGCCCAAGGTGCTCGGTGATGATATTAATACAATAGCATGTCCCGTTGAGACCTTGACTCTTTAAGCGGGCACCCCCTCAGGCGCTTACCCAAGCATTGTTACGTCATTTATGGTAGGTGTAATCACGTGTAATCATGTGGGCCTCTTTAAAACATGATTTGCGGGCGGCTCGAGCGGCTACAAAAATATAGTACAGTAGGCTGATCACATCCCAATGACCAGTGGAGGATGATCATATGTTCATGTTAGCTGAAAGCAAAGATACATAAGTTGGGTGACAGGGCGGGGAAGACCGTGTGCTTCTTCACCCACAGTTGTGAGATTTAGAGCATGTGACTAGACCAGAAGTTTGACTGGCCGCTGTCGATCAGTGAATTGGTTGTGTGAATAGAATTTCGAAGAGCCTGGAGTTGTAAAATTACTCTGTAGTGCACTTGTTATTATTATACGCGCATGGATCTGGTGCTAAATGGAACAGTCCAGGCTAGACAGTCGGTGGTCGCCAGAATACTGTACCGTGCCGGTATTGGCGCTTGTCTGACTCCCTCGTCTGGCTCGTCTGGCTCGTCTGGCTCGTCTGGCTCGTCTGGCTCGTCTGGCTCGTCTGGCTCGTCTGGCTCTCTCGTTTGACTCTCTCGTCTAACTACTCTAGTAGAGCAGAAACACAAAATGAAACATTTCCACCGCGGAGTGGTCCGAGTGGAAGCATGGAGAGTAGATGTCTCAAGGTGGAGTTGAACTGATGCATGTACACCAAGTTCAGGCTCTCAGCGGGGCTCTCAATTCTGGACTATGATGATAATTTATAATAACGTGGGACCTATGAGCTAGGTGGATGAGCATAGCAGCAGGCAACATTGTAGGAAGACTATACCATTTGCATCTTGGGGAACGGGTGATATGCAGAGCGAAGCTTAAATGATAAAATAAATACATTACTCGCTCCAACCATCGCTAAAAATCTGGCCAATGATGGATGTAGAGGCTGACATTTAATTCGCTCTCCTGGTATGGCGGAATCTAATCCTACTGGCAGTGTATCACTAAGGTAGCATAAGGACTGCTACTCGGGCGACTACTTCAGAGGCAGCAGACGACGGGTCGATAGATGTAACCCCCGGTGAAATCTGTGAACAAAAGGTGCAGGGAAATAGAAAGCGGATAGAATCCGCTAACTGAGATATTTGAACATGCAAAAGAAAACGAAAAGAAAGAGCATAAGCAGGTCTTAGGACTAGGAGGTATGGCGTTTGAGTTCACACGATCACCTGTCGTTGGGGGTCAATTTCGAACTGTCCAACTAGTAGTAAAAAGGTCTGGAGTTTCATTCGCCTACCAGTCAGGCGCATGGGGGCATGACCTTGTTGGGCTACTGATGTTGCAGATTGGGACCCTCTTCTTCCTCTGCTTGAGCCAGATCTGCATGATAGTCAAATAGCTGTATGTGCATGAGAAGATATACAATGAGTTCTGGGAGAAGCTCATGGTATTTGTGGGATCACTTAAGGTTGGTGACGGCACTGAGCCTAATATCTTTTTTAGCCCTGTGCAGAACAGCATGCAGTATAACAAAGCCAAGGATCTTGTTAAGAGTTTGTCCACAGAAGGTCTCACAACCACTCTCAGCAGAACCATCCAGGACTCGGCGGGCTACTTCACCCCCCCCGACCATTGTTGATAACTCTCCCGAATCAGCCCGGGTCGTGCAGGAAGAGCCATTTGCGCCGGTCCTGCCAATGCTCATGTGGTCAGATAAGGACAACATCATTGCGCGGGTAAATGCCACTAAGATAGGGCTCAGAGCATCAGTATAGAGTAAGGATATGACCCAGGCTTAACAGATAGCTAATTAGCTTAAGTCAGGAAGCATGTGGATTAACTTGCACTTTGATGTATTGCCCAAGGCACCGTTTGGAGGACATAAGTCCAGTGGGATTGGCACGGAATGGGGACTGAACGGGTTGACAGCGTATTGTAACTCCCAGACGCTGCGGGTGAAGCCAAGTCTTTAGCCTAGTTTACAAGTCATATCATGTCATTCGTAATGCAACATAACCATGTCCATAGATATCTCATAAATGCAACTACTCCACCGGCCAGCCAGCCTGCACACGCCCCGTCAAGCCAGCCCGAGCCACCACCTCCCGACTACGTTGCTGTGCCTCGCGCACGATCTCTGCCTCGTCCATGGTCAACAGCTCCCCGTTCCGAACCAGCATGCGCCCATCCACGACCACGAAATCGACGTCCCTGCCCGTCGCCGTGTAGACCACCGCGCTGATCGGGTTGAACCACGGCTGGAGGTGGATCCTGCGCGTATCAATCGCCACAAAATCCGCCTTTTTGCCCACCTCCAGACTGCCAATGCGGTCGTCTAGGCCCAGCGCGCGCGCGCCGTTGATGGTCGCCATCTCCAGCACGTTCTCCGCCGGCACCGCCGTCGGATCGTACGAGACGCTCTTGTGGATGATGCCCGCCAGTTTCATCTCCTGCAGGAGATCACACGTGTTGTTGCAGGGGGCGCCGTCCGTGCCGAGGCCGATATTGACGCCCGCCCGTTGCAGGTCCGGCACGCGGCAGATCCCCGACGCCAGCTTGGCGTTGGAGGTCGGGCAGTGCGCGACGTGGGTGCCGGACGCGACAGCGTGGCAATATCCGCGTCATCCAGGTGGACCATGTGCACCAGGACGGTTGACGGGGAGAGCAGCCCGACGGAGGCGCAGTAGGACATAGGGCTGTGCTTGACCGAGGCGAAGAAGTCGCGGTCGGCGCGGACCTCGGCGCAGTGCATCGTGATGGGGATGTTCTTCTGCCGGGACAGGGCGGTCATCTCGCGGTACAGACTGTCGGAGACACTGGATCAACTGTCAGCGGGACGAGACTCAGGTCGAGGGTGAGAGGTGCGGACTTGCCCTCCCGGTGTACGCGCCCCAAACCACACGCGGATGCGGTCATTTGCCTTGCCGTTCCACTTCTCCCACATCTTCAGCGTGCCCAGTAGAGACGTCTGCCGGTCTTCCACGAGGCCGGGGTGCATCGCCCATGCATCGTCTTGTGCGTACCGCGCGATATCCATGACGATTTTGCCGAGGCAACCGCGGATTCCGCTCTCCTCGACGGCACGACACAGGCCATCGAATCCGTACCGATCGGCGAACTTTCTCAGTTAGGAGTTACTATCATCACCACCCGAGACGGAGGCGAGGTCTTACCATGCTCTCCAAGAAACACGTCGTCCCCGACTTCAACATCTCCCCGATACTCAACCGCGCCGCGGCATAGCCGTCTTCCGCCGTAAAGTTCCCCTGCAGCACCCAGATCCGCTCGCAGAGCCACGACACCAATTCCAGGTCATCGGCTGTGCCCCGGAGCAGCGTCTGGGCTGTATGCATATGTGTGGAGATGAGGCCGGGGATGAGATACTTGGCTCGGAGGATGTCCGTCTTACCCAGGTCGACGATCAGGTCGTCCGCGACGTGGATGGCCCCATCCTCGATAATCCGTCGGGAAGGGTCTACGGTGATGATGGTTGCGTGTGTGTAGAGCATCTCGAGACGACTTGATCGGTTACTGAAGTTCAAGGTGACGAGACAGCATATTGAATGTATATATCTTCTATTACTCTCTACCCTCATCCATCATGGCGTGAGCGGAGACCTCCGACGAGGACACGGAGATGCGCGAAGGAGACTGACCCTCGATCTCAATTAAGCGAGTCATATGCTAGTTACTTTTCGACATAATTCTGATGCCAGGTATAATCCCGATTCTCCAACAAAAACCCCCGAATCGCCTCCCGCGGCGTGGTGGGCTCCCGTCCCAGCACCTCCTTCATCAACGGATCGGTGTGGCTGATTTCCCCCTGCGCAATACTGTCGTACCAGCTCACGAGCGCCTGGAAGAACTCGGCGGGCTTGCCACCCTGGTCGTTTGCTGCACTCAAGCGCACATACTCCTCTGGGGAGACGATCTGGAATCGGACGTTCCGGCCCGTCGCCTCGTTAATCACATCCACTGCCTCGGCGAAACTGATGGTCTCCCCTGCTGCCAGGAGGACGATCTCGTTCTCGTGGCCACCCTGGATCATTAATCGGGCGTTTGCTTCCCCGAGCTCCTTTCGCAGAGTGAAAGCGCAGCGTCCGTCTGCGGGGAGGGACACGGTGGTGGTATCGGGATACCAGTTGAGGAACAGCGGGAATGCATCGGTGTAGACTCCTTCGCGGATGGAGGTGAACGTGATTCCCGACCTGATGGTTATCAGTGAACTGTACATCTCGAACGTCAGAGGTTGTATCTTACTCTCTGAGTAAATCTTCGGTCTGCAGATGCGCCTGCTGAATCGCCGCTTTGGAATCGGATTTCAATCCCCCGAATGCGAGCGATGTATACCACACCTATCTAGTCAGTAAGCTTCAGTATCACACAAGTAACCGCAAAGACACGTACATGTTTGACACCCGCTCTCTTGGCAGCCTCCACGAAATTCCGATGCTGCTTGATGCGCCTCTCATTGTCAAAGACATTCGTACTGACAAAGAAGAGGTTCTGGACGCCCCGAAAGGCTGCGTCGAGCGTGCGCGGGTCATCGTAGTCTACATGGCGAAATGCAATTCCTCGATCTTCGAATTGTTTCCGATTCGACTCGCGCGACGAGGCGGCCGCGTATTCCGATGAGGGACGGTTGGCTTCGAAGTAGGCGAGGACCTCTTTGCCGAGGCCGCCGGTGGCTCCGGTGATGAGATATTTGAAGGTCATGTTGTCTTATTTTGTTGATTGACATGACATAAGTTGACTCTTGTCTGACCTGGTGTGCAGTTTTATAGCGTCGCAGCGAGATGATTTATAATCAACTTGGGTCGAATAACTACGACGCTGGTGATTCGTAAGCAGCAGGGTGTTTTAGATCTTGAAGCCAATGGCGATGCTCGATGGGCCAACTCCCGCATAGAATCGGATCGAACAAATGACGATAATGACATCTTACGTAAATAATTGATGGCTGTACAGCTGGATGCAAAACTGGTGCAAATGTTTATACTCTTGAAACACGCTAAGCTGCTTTTATGAAAGTCTCTGAGAACCCTTGTTGTTTTTCTGTATTGCATGGTAGAAGCCGCCCTGTAACGCAGAATATTTTATATAACCTGTATCCCCACATACAATTGCATCTGTCAGGCCACGTGGATATATCTCTTATGAACCTACTAAGGATCCTTCCTGGAAGATGATCACATTAATCATCCTCATAGAGTCATAGGGAAAAAAAGATGGCCCTAATCTAGCTCCATTGACCGCGGAGTCTATCTGTGACATGATTTTAGTAATGAACTTACTCACTCCCAGATTGCCAATGCGGCTGCTGCCATTCAAGTACTATCACTAGGCATGGGAGTTTGATGGCACCCCTGAATAAGGGCGGACTCACACAAGTTATAGTTAAAGCGCTCTGGGATCACCTTCTCAAGAAGCCCCATTTTTACCTTGATGAGATGGTGATTTCCTATGCGATGAGTTTCAGGTGCATGTACCTCTCTAACCACATGCATAAGCATCAAGGTTGGTCTAACAAAGCTGCCAAATATAATCCAAGAGAGCGAACTGCAGATCTACGTAACGCGTACATTCATTTGATGTCAGACTTTTACTCGAACTACCTTGTTTATTTAGATGAATCTGGGTGTGACAAGAGGGTAGATTCAGAAGAATGAGTAATTTGGTAGAATAGAGGACTTGGTGCTGAGTTTGCGCAGGGAGTTGCCTCCTCTTCCTCACACCGTAGCATTTGCACGTCTGATGTCAAAAGCGACTGTCCTGAGCATCTTGGTCCCTTGGATTATCACTTCACAGAAAGAGAATGCCTGCTAGGTGGCTATGTAATGGTTTCAAGGCGAGAAATAGAAAGGTTACACCTGAGAAACTCAAATTATACGCAAGAAGTGCTGAATCCTGACCATCTGGCATATTGGCCGGGCGTAAGACATCTGAGCAGTGGCTGCAGCACCCGGCTTCCAGACTTCCGCTGCATAATATAGTTCCACAACTGTCCTCATGACGGGCCTTCTCTGCACGGGCCTTCTCTGCAAGGGTGTCAGATCTGCATGTTGTGCTGCCTTATGGATCATGAATACGTCACATAAAGCTGGAGTTAGCCTATCGTTGCTCATTCCTTGATGCCCTTTACACCCGACAATATAGTGGTCGATCTGTGCGAAGTGTAGAGTTGATGTCATAACTTTACCTTGCGACCAATAAGGACGGTAAGTCTTTTGGCAACTTCTAGGAAATAGCAAGTCATCGACGAGGAAGACCCTTGCCAGAGCTTTTGTGAGAGGAGTCGGTTGCAAAAGATGGGAGCCTATAACACCCCATAAAAGTCCTACAAAGACCTTGAGTAAACTCCTGGGATCTGCCTCGCTTTCTGACATTAGTTCTTCCAGCTTCTCGACGGCACCCTTCAACGTTCGACAATGTCCTCTCAAAACTACATTGCAGACGCCGCCTCACTGAGAGAGGCCGCGAAAATCCCACCATCACCTCTCCAAGCCAAATGCCATCCGCTAGAACCTCTAGTAACAGAGAACGTGAACAGATTCTTCCTTGAGCATTGGCCGTTCGACACTGAAGAGCAAAAGAAGAAGTTTTGCGCAATGAAATGTGGCCAGGTAGCCTGCTATTGTTTCCCCGAAGCACTTGATGACCGCATCGAAATTGTTGCTCGCTTTCTCGCCCTCGCTTTCTTTATGGTCGATGGTAAGGCGATGAACTTCCCGTTTGGAGAGATGATTATCTTCATGACCCCTACGTATCGCTGGTCAAGCAATCTAACGCCATCTAGACATGCTAGAAGACATGTCATTTGAAACGAGCAAGGCTCTCGTTGAGAAATTGATATGCATTTTGCGAGGAGAATCCCAACCTGATCTAGATATGCCTGTGGAGAGGATCTTAGTTGATCTGTGGAGACAAATGCGATCTATTGACTCAAGCGCAACCGAGGACCTTTTGCTTGCGACTTGCTCCCTGTGGAGCGCTCAAGGCAGTGACGCACGGAGGGAGTTCAAAGACCTAGGCAGTTACATCGACTATAGGATCTGTGATGGAGGTTCAGTGTACGTCATTTTACAGAACCGCCTGGTAGAAAATCTGCTGACCAATAAGGATTGTGAGTCCTTTGACACGCTTTGCAATGGGCCTTCGCTTGACCAACGACGACATCGAGGCGGTGAAGGAAATCACCATGAACATGGCGAGGCAAATCCCTCTCCTGAACGATATTTGCAGCTGGGAGAAGGAGTTAAAGAAAGCTAGAGAGTCAAAGGCGGATGGAGCTCAACTTTGTTCCGCTGTAAAGATTATTGCGGATACCCTGAAGATAGACGCAGCGGCAGCTCAGCGCCTTCTCTGGCATATGTGTCGCGAGCTCGAGGCCCGGCATGTTCAGCTTGCGGGTGAGATTTTGGCTGTCTACCCTCACCTATCCAGCTATTGCAGAGCCATTGGTTATCCCATGAGCGGGCAAGAAGTTTGGGCTTTGCAAAGTGAGCGCTTCAACTATGCTCGCTCTCTGGGAATTATGCATCCCTTCAGTGAGGGGTGATTGGCACTTGAAAGATCCCACTGGGCCGGCGTTGTAATCAACACAGCTTAAGTAAAGATAGGCATGATTTAGAGTTTGATAGGAAGTCGTTCTATATATCGGATGAATATGATTGGGATCAAGCTGTAATCAAGCAGCGGGTGTTCCATACAATATGACAGCCTTTTAAGACCCTATCACTGGATCCTTTACAAAAGGGAGGGGGTAGTATAGTAAGGCAGTCGTCCTCGGTCCATTTCTTTACGCACCGGAGGCAGGGCGAGTAAATCTGTTGACCATCACTAATGCACGTAGCATAATGACAACATGTCCACAACTCTCCATTCAAATCAAGTCTCCTCGTCAGAGATGAGCTCCATCCCACGAACTTCCCGAATGGTATTCATCAACCGAAACACATTCTTATTCAACGACCGGATCGCCTTCAACATCTCGCCCCTCTCCTGCGCCGACGATCCAGATCCAGCATTTTCCTTGTTAGGTATTTCCTCTTCATTCTTGCGCTCATACGCCTCCAGAGCATCCTTGATCCCAGCACAGGCTCTCCGTCGAGCACGACCAGTGAGTTTCTGCGCGACAGAGAGCGGGCCGTAAAAGTGATTCGGAAGCGCGCTGCATTCTGCGCCGGCTCGGCTGCACGAACGACACTTCCCGAGGGCAGCGTCGCGGTGGCAGATGGTCGAGTCGTCCTCGGTCCATTTCTTGACGCACCGAAGACAGGGCGAGTAGGTTGCGACCACGGACCCGGTGGAGATCAGCGGGGGAGCAGTAGGAGCGGCGCGGCGAGCAGCTGGAGCTGGAGCTGGAGCGGTAGCTCGGGTGGATCTCGGCAGAGCTGGAGATGGCGGGTGACTGGGGATCTGGTCGAGCTGCTGTTAGTCAAAATGGATTCGGAGGGATATGCTTGGTAGAGATGGTAGAGATAGTAGAGATACTTACCACAATGGGCTCATCCGAGGTGCTGTTTTCCGGCTTTGTGCGCCGGGGTTTCTTCCTGTCGGAGCCTGTCGGACCACTAACCGTTGCGCGCCTTTTTTTGGGCTGATCCGTCATGTTGGTTTAATCTTGTATGAACCTCCTAAAAAGAGAACAGGCAGAGAGAAATGTCTGGCAAGTCAGAGAGTTTTCGAGGAGAATCGTTACTATTTATGCTGCCGTTGCAAAGACTCTCCCTTCTCTATTCGAGAATGGAAGCAACTATTGTCGACTGCCGGACATCATTCAATCAAAATCACTTGCCTTCGATTGGATGTCGTGATTCTTTTCCCTATTGAGCTCGATTCAACAATAGGATCCGTGTATTGACAACTCTGGTGGCATTCGATGGAACAAAGAAAACCATGGCGTCAGGCAAACCAAGACTCGTTGGCACCGGACAACTCAGATATCCTTTGACATGCATGGAATCTGATCTTAGTCAGCTTCATCCACACATATGTCAACTATTCTGTGTCATGAAAGGAATTGAATGTCTCTTCGATGCCCTTTTTCTCATGCCGGACGGCCCAAGTTTTCCATCAAGCGTTCATGCAACCGCTGTAGTGGTTAGGAAGAAGCCTGAGCTTAACGATAGCCTGGTCCGTTTCATTTCTTGCTTTGCTAGTAGTGGTAGTGATTCTTGTGCAATTCGAGGCCGCGGATCGGACCTTTGGGTTATGTGGTTGATTTGACCTGGTTGAGCTCGTTGTTTGAATCTGTAGCTGTTGCGTTTGATGTGTTCGTGTCTGACTTCAGATGTGTGCGTCTCATGTCGAGACACTTGTTATCTGGAGAACCGGATCCGCACTTGACCAGCAGAGACTCAATAGAGCATGTCCGATATGTCTAATGCAGCTTTAGATGTCACAGTCGAACTGCTGCAGCATCGCGTGCCTCTATGGGTGCCGCTACAGGCTCCGACACAGCGAGTCAAATTTTCCCGACACCCTCCATCGCTGAAGAGTCTACAAGATCTCAATTTTATACCAAAGGTTCGATCAGTTGAACTGTTCTGGATCTGCATAGTTCGTCTTACCTTTTCCGTCGTTCCTGAAGCTATTCGGAATCTTTTCCCGCCCCGCTGGCTGATCCCAGTGTCCCCATCTGAGCTCAGCTTTAATGTACATGCCATCGCTCTCATGGACAGTGACTCGATAAAACTGTGGTATTTCCAATCAATTTGGTCTTACGATCGACCTGTAGAGAACCTGTACCTCAACTGCCCGTATGATGTCTCCATCGATGAGGAACTGCATCCAGTCAGGAAATTTTCTACAGAACACGGTGAACAAAACTCTCGAGGGAGATATTTCCTCTCTATCAAATCATGCAAGACTGACACATGCATCTCTTCACAGGAACTATATACAAACTCAACTCCGGAACCAATCTATCAATGTGGCCCATCATAAGATAACAAAAGAACTGAACCTATAAACATGTCCGCAGGTACTCTCCCAACGCCATAATTGCCATCGCTTGCCCGTATGGCATCGCCGTCAGGGGAATATCCTTGTAGAACTGCAAGCAATCACCCATTCCCGTGCCAAAGCTGGTATTCTGGAGCTCGCCATGCTCATCCACCGCGCTCATCACCGCCGCAATCGCTTTCTCCGCGACAGGACGATACTGCGCGCCGATGTATCGCTTGCGGACGGCTTTCAAGATGCCGTACGCAAACCCTGCGGTTGCAGACGCTTCAACGTACGAGTCCGGATGGTCGAGGAGGGTGTGCCAGAAGCCCGTCTTGCTCTCCTGGAGCCGCTGCAGGGCCTCGCACTGGGCCTCGAGCGTGTCGATGAGGTGGATGCGGATCGGATCCGTCGGCTCGAGGTCGAGCAGCTCGATAATCTCAGGGATGACGATGGTGACCCAGCTGTTACCGCGGGCCCAGCGTGCGCGCGCAAAGTTGTGCCCTCCCTCCTCAAAGGTCCAGCCGTGGAACCAGAGTCCTGTTTGGGTGTCGAAGAGGTACTTGATGTGAACGAGAAACTGCCGCTTGGCCTCGGCAATGTACTCGGGCCGGTTCAGGAGCTTGCCGATCTTGGCCAGCGGCAGGACGGTCATCATCAGCGTGTCATCCCACAGCTGCTGGTAGTTCTCGGTCAGGTAGGTTGCGTGCTGCATGCCGCCGTACCGCGTGCGAGGAAGTTCGTACATGGCCCATTCGGCCCAGGCATCCAGCCAGGGGAGGTAGGTTGCGTTGCCCGTCTTCTCGTAGACGTAGGCCAGCGTCAGGAAGACAGCCATGGTGTTGATGTTCTTGGTGGTGCCGCCCTCGGCGAACCGCGCAGCAAACCAGTCTTCAATGATGCGCAGGAGGGACTCGTCGCCGGTCATCTCATAGTACTTCCAGATGCCGTACAGCCCGATACCATGCGTCCACTCCCACCCGTGCCAGGATTTGGTGTCAATGACTCGACCATCCTGTAGCCGCAGCAGGAACTTTCCTGTGGCGTCTTTGATGTTGACCAGGTTGGTGATGAGCTGCTTGACGGTCTGATGGACCTCGGTCTGCGAGAGTCTGTTGGAAGTCATTCTCGTTTATATGTTTATGCAGCAGTGCTCAATCAGCAAGCGGTCTTTCTTTATTTCACCTCGCCAGAATAATAATAATAATGGCTGACTCGCTGCATCTGGCTATAAATGCTGCGGGGTGGAACCGGCCACTGGTGATACGCGGAAGAAATGGGGGGGAATTCTCCGCGGCGACACAGCAACCTTCGGGCCATCGACACACCGAAACCCAACGCCAAGCAGGAGCCAATTCCAACCGAGCAGCGAAGTGGTTGGCCGTGTCTAAAGCGGTTACGGACAGGAGCTGTTGAGTGGTTGACCTCTCGGGCTATTGCACCCCGCTCACCTCTCAGATCCAGTTATCTCGAGTCATTCTTCCCATGGGGAGGCGTTGCCAAGAAAGCCGGGGTAAAGAGTCAAGCCAGCCAGGAAAGCATGCGCACCCTCGATTTCTATTGCGACCGGGGTAATGATCTCTCGAATTGGCTGTTTAGCTGAAACTCGACGAGCTGGGCCGTTTTTTCTCGATAAAAAGGCCAGAGCTCCCCGTTGTCTTCCGTCTCGGTCGGACCTCTCCCCCTTTGCTGCTGTGTTTCTGTTCGAACCGCTCTCAAGCTTTGGTTTCTTCTTTGATCGCCATATTCCACAAGCTCTGATTCCACCGTCATGGCAGAAAGACTTGGCCCGAGCCCGGTGACTTCCAGCTCACCAGACGCTGGAGATGACCGGAAGCAGCCCAAGGACATCAACCATGTCGAACGGGTGTTGTCTGATGGGTTCACAAAGGAGGAGGCCGACTTCTCTCGGATGGACAAGGATCTCCAGGAGTATGTGGCTCGCGGACAGGTCGATGTCGACGAAGCTACCAGCAAGCGTTTGAAACGCATGATCGATCGCCGCGTGCTGGTCATCATGATCTTCACGTACTTTCTCCAGGCTCTGGATAAGGGTACCTTGTCTTTTGCCTCTATCATGGGAATTCGTACCGATCTGCGTTTGCAGAATGGCCAAAAGGTGCCTTTCCCCTTTTTCTCACGGGAATATCTTATATGAGCGACACGGATGCTAACGGCGGTCACTCTAGTACTCCTGGTTGACGACCTGTATCTACATCGCCGTTTTGACCGTCGAATACCCAACCAACTGGATTATTCAACGTGTTCCTATTGCCAAGTACCTGGGCATCAACATTTGTCTCTGGGGTGCCGTGCTGGCTCTGCATGCTGCTAGCAAAAGCTTCACGCACATGGTGGTCTTGCGTACCCTGCTGGGTATCTTTGAGGCCTGCTGCCAGCCCACCTTCGTCTTGCTGTCCAGTATGTGGTACAAGAGAGAGGAGCAGGCGGCGACCGTGACCTACTGGTAGGTCGATCACACAACTTTAACATGAATGCTGCTCACAATCAGCAGGTACATGATGAACGGTGGTCAGCAGATCGTCGGCGGTCTGCTCGCGTACTGCTTCAGTCTGATCGGCAAGGACAAGGCCATCCACTCCTGGCAGGCCCTGTTCATCACCTACGGGGTCATCTCCGTGTTTTGGGGCCTTTTCGTCATCTTCTGGATGCCCGACTCGCCCATGCGCGCCAAGTGCTTCACCGAGGAGGACAAGCACCTGATGGTCGAGCGAGTCCGTGCCAACCAGACCGGTATGCAGAACAAGAAGTTCCGCGCCTACCAGATGTGGGAGGCCTTCCGCGACCCCCAGATGTACTGCTACTGCGCCATCCAGATCTTCACCACCTTGCCCACCAGCGGCCTGGGTGCGTTTGCCAACATCATCATCAGCGGCTTCAAGTTCTCCGTGCTGCAGACGCAGCTGCTGGCCATGGTGCTTGGCTTTTATATCATTATCGTCCTCCTGAGCTCCGCCTGGCTGGTCAAGAAGACCGGACAGAACCTGCTCGTCATGCTGGCCTTTGTCATCCCGTGAGTCTAGTCTCATTGCCTGCTAGTGTATCATCCGTTGACACCATGACCCCTAGATCCTACGTCGGAACCATCGTCCTCATGACCGTCGAGAACAAAAACATGGGCACCAAGGTCGGCCTCCTGATCAGCTACTACATCACCCTCTCCTTCTGGTCCGCCCAGACCCTCTGTCTCTCCATGGTCTCCCGCAACATCGCCGGCGCCACCAAGAAATCCACCGTCGTGGCAGCCACCTTTGTCTCCTGGGCCGTCGGCAACTCCATTGGTGAGCCACCTACCCCGCTTCAGTCAAGACCGACCAAACTAACGAATACCATCCAGGCCCCCAAGTCTTCCTCGACAGAGACGCCCCCCGCTACTTCATCGCCTTCGGCGTCCACCTGGGCTGCTACGTCTGCCTGACCATCGCCATCATCTTCCTGCGCTTCTGGCTCGTCCGTCAGAACAAGAAGAAGGCCCGTGTGCTGGCGGAGAGTGGCCTGTCCGCGGAGGGCAACCTCACCCATGCCTTTGAGGACCGCACGGACCAGGAGAACTTGCATTTCCGGTATATCTACTAGATGTCTACACATGGTTTTGGTTATGAAGGGCTTATTACATGTGGGATTATCGATTGGTAATAGCACGATATTTAATGTTCCGTATGCGTTTCCTGTAGGGTAACTTTATTATTTGTAAGCTTGTTGGCCCTGCAGGTACCGGTCAATGGTACTATTCGTACATTACGGGTGATTTCAGAGCATAGCCATATGACCTTGCATGTATGTTGATTCTGCCTCATCTGAAATTAGTCAGTCATCTTAAGACGAGACCGTCTCGTCTATCGATAAGCCTAGTCGAGAATGTTTCCATGCCTCCAAAGGATCATGGAAGAACCAAGCCAACCCGTATGATATAGGCATCATTGGCATTGTACTAGATAAGTCTTCTCGAATAAGCTTCTTGGTGCTTCTGTGCATCTGGGTCACGCAGGTCACCAGGTGCCTACTACCTCGGTATAATCGTATACAACATTGAGTCATTGACAGCCAATGAAAGAACATTGTGGCTGTCCATGAGAGAACTCAAGTTTGAGAAAGGCCCACCAGGAGCAAAGCCATTAACTGCAGATCCGGGACGGGGTCGAGTTAAGGTTGGTCGAAATTCAGTCAAGGGCTCGACTCATAAAGAGGTTCGCTGATCTATCACTATCAGGTCTTATCATGGTCACTATTTGAGTCCGCGGAGAAACACACATTCTCTTATCTCTTCTTAACAGATAAGATGGCTGCACTAACTCATTGCTTAGGCATACTGTCAGTCTGTCATCAATGTGCGTACAGATTAGAGGACCAGACAATTCACTGCCAGACCCAATATTCCGGTGCAGATCTGAGATAAGGAACAGGGGCGTCAGCCATGGCGTCCGATCGATTCCGGGGCCGTGTATCCCGTAGAAGATATATCAATCATCCCTCTCCTCGTTCGTTCGTCATCAGGTCAAACAAACTAGAATCTAAGCTAGCTGTGAATCAGACGCGGCCAACAATTAGCATACATCATGACGACTGTCAGCGTTGATGCCCACGCTCCAGCCGATGTCGCCCAGTTCGTGGCCCACGCTGGAGTAAGCAAGGGCAATATGCGCCTCGACAAGGTCTTCTTCAGTGCCTTTTCTGCTGGTTGTCTGCTTGCCTTTGCCTGTGGAACGGCCCTGAGCACCAATACAACTACATGGTTTCAAGAAAATGCGCCCGGCTTGATTCGCACAATATCCGCCCTGGTCTTCCCTTATGGTTTGTGTATGATCATCTTAACAGGAGCGGACCTCTGCACTGGTTCTTTCATGGTATGCTTTTCAGACTGCTACTTTGCGAATATACTTACTTAGCCTGTGTAGTTCACCACTGTTGCCGCCCTCCAACGCAAACTGCCCTGGTACAAGATGCTGCTCCACTGGTTCATAACCTTCTGGGGCAACCTAGCTGGCTCCCTCTTCGTTGTCGCCATCATCTTTGGCTGTAAGCATCTCCATCCCTCGACTTCTATCCAGGCCTGACATCTTGCTCCAGACGGCAACGTCTTCGCCGCCGACCCCTACAAATCCGAAGTCATCGCCTTTGCCACGAAGAAACAACTCACCCCGGCCTTCCACCATATCTTCCTCCGCGGTATCGGCTGCAACTGGCTTGTCTGCCTGGCTTGCTTCTTGGGCGTACAGGGACGGGACCTCGCCTCCAAGCTCGTAGGCATCTGGTTCCCGACCTTTGCCTTCGTCTCGCTAGGCTTTGACCACGTCGTCGCCAATATGACCTTCATCCCGATGGCGATCTGGCTGGATGCGCCCAAGATCACGGTGGGGCTGTACATCTGGAAGGGGATCATTCCGACGCTGCTGGGGAATATTATCGGAGGCGGATTGTTTGTTGGTAGGTGCACCTGTTGCGAGTTGAGGGACAGCGGCTGACCGAACCAGGCACATACTACTGGTACATGTACCTCTTGAGTGGAGAGATGATTACTCTCACCGGGATGCGCAAGTCAGGCACGGCAACGCCTCGTTCAGTGGATGTGGAGGCCATGGCTGCGGATAAGCAGAACTAATTGATTGGCATCTTAAGTGGTTGATTTTAGCGTTATGATTCCCTATACATTGTTACACACGGTCAGGCATGTATTGAGTTAATATCCAGTTTTATGTAAATCAGACAAATACTATCTATTGGGTATACACCCGCGTCTAGAAACTACTGCTTTACATAAGATCATATTCCTTAATCGACACCTCTGCGCAGGTCATACCGATCATGCACGCGGGAACCTGCGGGTGGGTGTTCAGGGGAACTGGCACAACGCTCAGGTCCGCCACGCGCAGATTCTCGATGCCGAACACGCGGAATCGACTGTCCACTGCCGCCTTCGCGTCACCGGGTCTGCCCATCGTGACTGTCCCCATCATGTGCCAGACCGAACTGAGGTTGTTCTTCCAGAAGTTGAGAAGGTCATCGTCGGATTCGGACGACGGCACACCCATTGGGGCCACGGTGTCTTTCTGGAATGACTCGTGCTTGGTCACTTGGAGTGCGTCGCGAAGGATCTCGATACAAGCGCGGCGATCAAAGGGATGGGAAAGGAACTTGGGATCAAACAACAGCGGGTCGTCTGGGTTCGACGACTGGAGGCGGACTTCGCCGCTGGATTGTTCGTTCAGGAGAAACAACCCCAGGCAGATATAGCTGTAGTCTTTAACAACCCCGGGAAAGACGAGATGCATAGGGAAATAAGTCAAGAACTCGTAGTGTGGCACCGTCTCCCCCGCTTCAGGAAGTCTTGAACAGATGGCGGAAGCGCCTGAAATTCTGCCGACGCAAGGAGATTGTCTGATTTGAAGAAGCCAGCTGCGAACTGACACGAGTAGCGTGACCATGGCCCTGTTCCGTCCTTCATCCACTGCGCCATAGCTCGGTCCATGGTGGCATTATCGCCGAAGAAGGCATTTCGATCATTCGTTTCTGGCTTCCGTTGGAAGCAGAGAGGAACATTAAAATGATCTTTAAGACCTTGAGCCACTGATGGAAGGTGCTCAACAACTGATATCCGGAATTTTTCAAGTTGATCGGCAGGGCCGATTCCAGAATGCATCAAGATCTTCGGGGAACCAAGTGCACCTGCGGCGACGATGACTTCTTTGGAAGCGTGATCTGTACAGAGACACTCTTGTTAGTCGATACCCTAAGACCTGAAAGGTAAAATTTGGAAGACTTACATTGTTTGCCATTGCATTCCACTCCGATCGCTTTCTTCCCGTCGAGGACAACCCTGTGCACTGGGGACTCTGTGATGACTTTTAGATTCTCCGGTGCCGCGCCCAGCAGATCGGCTGCAGTGATTCTCCTTCCTTTGTGGGCTGAATTGACAACCAGAGCCATTCCGATCGGATTGCCCGAGTTCTGATCAGGATTACGAACAAGGCCTGCTTGTTCGAAAACATCCAGCATCAAGGGTACGTCTTGCTCCCACTCTGAAGCAAAGCCTACTCGCAGAGCACCTTGGGATCCATGATCTGAAGATTTCGGACCAGCATATTTTGCGTTCTTCGGCTCTGAAATTGTGCTGTCGAAAGTTTCCAAGCGTCGAAATCGCGGCTGCATGCGATCCCACTTATACAACTCGTCTCCCACAACGGTCGCCCACTCGTCATACTCGTCCCGAGACCCCACGGTGAAGACTGAAAAGCTAATGGCAGTGGTACCGCCCAGTACTTTGCCTTGTGAGTAGTCGAGTTGACGGCCGTTGCAGTTCTCCTGAGGTACGGTCTTATATCCCCAGTTCACCTCTTTGTTCAGGAAGGTGTTCCATCGCTGACCATCCACATGCAAGGACTTGTCATCACCCCGCACGCCTGCTTCCAAAAGCAGGGCTCGAGGACGGGTTGTCGAGCGATCTATATTGACCGCGAGAGCACAGCCGGTGGGGCCGCCTATGCCAAGTCCGCTTAAAGGAGACCCTACAGTACGCAGCCAAACAAGAGATATCAAGACTGACCGCCGACAATGATAAAGTCCCAGGTTGCCTCAGAGCCCATACTCTATGCTTAGACAAAGGAACCCCGCCAAGCTGTTCACCAAAGAAGGGGTAAGCTGGCCTCAGTGACGCAAGGATAAGAGCGCAAAGATTTGCAGAATGCAAAAATCGAAAGGAGAAAGAAAAAATCCTTCAGCAACAAAGGGAAGAATGCCAGATTTTCAAAATTCGATCGGCGATAGGGGTAGCTATCAGGCGATCTGTGGTGTAGTTTCAGCGTTCAACTCCAGTCAGCCAACAGTTGTAATCAAGACAAAGTATCTCAAAGTATAAAGTTGCCAGAGCTCGACAGCGACCGTAGCGAAAATTATTCTATGACCGGTTCATTGTCGGTGGGTGAATATGCATCGACGCCGGAACTGATCTCCGTGGGTTGGGGTTCCGAGCCCCGCTGATTTGTTGACGGCTGAAATGTGCCAGAGCATTGCAAGGATTACAATGCCCTGCACAAGGTGTATCTACTCCATTCAGTCTCATACCCCAGTGTCCCGTAAAGCCATGTTCCTCTGGCACTGGCTCCGAGGCCAGCAGGCGTACTCTCCCGGCGAGCTTGGCCTAGACCCCAATTTATCAAGCTTCGACCAATTCCTCGCCGTTGATATTCGGCACGAACTGCCAGAACAGCTACAGCATAGCTCCATAAAGCGAGAGAATAGCTTTGTCGACACTGCGGTCGGATATAGACAGGAGAAGAGATAGGTGAGGTGTAGGAACTGTCTAGAACTGAAAGTGACAGAGCTGGAAATTAGTCATGTTCTTCTGCTGTTTGTGTTCTTGGATCAAGTGCGATTAAACAAACCTTCTACCATCATGTCTCCTCTGTCTCCCTCCATTACCTCCCGGGCTTCTCTGCTCCCGCCTCAATGCGTTCCTAGCATTATCCCGTAACTAATGGGTGAGAGTTCGGCGCTGTCCGCGACCGGCAAGTCATCCTCGACCGTAATGATGAAGACCCAGCATGGAGACAGAATTTTGGAGCGGAGTCTGCGCAGGAAGCTCTAGCGATAATCGGCATGATACTCTTTCCGCCGGGGGCAGGATCTGCAATCAAGGGAAGATCTTGCGACCTGGGTAGCCGTAGATGCATGGTGCTTCTGACGTGAATTAAGGATCGTAATTGTCTCACCGGTCATAATAGAAAACGGATCATGAAATGAGAATGCATCGCTCAACACTATCTAGATATGCTTAGGACCCGACAGACTGTTAGTACGGGGTCATCCTCACCGAACTAGGCAAAGAACCCGAGAAGAGTGGACACTTTGCCAAGTGGAGTACCCCTGTAGATTTGCGAGGCTTCCAATTATTGAACCAGCAGAGATCCAGATTTGTCCTCGCAAAGTCAAGGAGGCGTCACTGCGTCAGACAACCACTTTCCCAAACGGTCACCTGCAAAGAGATCCGGATCTGTATCTCCTCGGAGGTCACCTGACTCAGGCCACTCACTGAGAGTCCACGACTCCACGTTAATGGCAGCAGTCTTGCTCTCGACATCTCGGGCGACTTCTTGAAGTGGCTCAAAAGTTTGCTACTGCTTTTTTGATCAATCAACAACCGCGTTTCCACAGCAAAATGACTTTTGATTCGGCCGACTCGAGGGAACCGTGGACTGCTCAAAGGCCACAACATCTGGACCTCATACACTGGGCACCCGCCACCACGGAACCGATGACAGAATACCATACCAATGAAGGCAAATCAACGAGCTGACAGATGAAAGCGAGAACTTTCCATTGGATCGCGTCTTCCGGTCGCCAGGTTCATAGCGAGCCATTCGGGATTCTCTTCAACGATTTGCCGACCTCGCTATGTGGGTTTTTGCTGCCTCAGGCTACACCAGGCATTTATTATACCTTATCGGGTTTAGTGCCAGCCCGCCATCCCATTCTTCCCCATAATTTTTGCGGTCTCGATGGGAAAATGATCGAATCGCCTCAAGGGCGAGAATATTAGCAGGGAAAAAAGTTGGCTCTCGAACCCCAGACCCCACGCGGCCCATGCGTTCGTTCCTTTTAACGTCCTTTCTCTTTCTCGTCTCCTGAACCTTCCCCATTCATTCTCTTATGCTTATTTATTTTCTTTCCCTCACCAGCCAGCGTCTCTTTGTTGTTCTACATCCGCTCTTCATCAGTCTTTTTTGCAGGAGGGGATCCGCCGCCACCGCGTTATCCCGTTATTCGGCAATTCGGAAGGCCATTCCCATAGCCAGGAAACCTAGCCTTCGCAGCCTTTATCCCTGGCGGTTCGATCGGTTGGTCAATTGAGGTCTCTCTTCGACTTGCAGTCTACTCCAGCGTCGGTCACCACAGGAGATGCAAGTGCGAGCAGTGACCGTTGAAACAAGGCCATCAGCGACTTGGTTATGACAGACTGGACAATCGCGAGATTCGATCTGAAGAGGGTGACTCTGAAAATACTATGGCGCTCTACTTGACGATTGTAAACCAACCTGTGATACCCGAAATTCTGGCGAAACAACTTTCCTGGATATCGTCGCCTCGTTTGCCGTGACTTACTTAGCCGGCGTCGTTTCTCTTCGTCGTTCCCTCTCAGCAATCTGTCTTACAACGCTCTTTACGAACACCGCTCTCGTTTCACCATGTTGAACTCCATTACTGAGCTTCCTGAGGGTGTGGGGGCCAACCCCGAGATCCGCAGTCTGGCCATTCGGATTTTGGTGGTGGTGTTCAACTCGATCGCTCTTTACAATGCCATTGAGCTCGTGATTCTCATTTTCCTTACGTTCAATCGCTACAGCGGCCTCTACTTTTGGAGTCTTTTACTGTCGGGTGTACTTGGGGTCATTCCCCATGCTATTGGTCACCTGCTGCAGTTCTTCCGTATTGGGCCCATTGGCCTCGCAATCTCCATTGCCACTATTGGCTTTTATTTCATGGTGCCCGGCCAGTCGTTTGTGTTGTACTCTCGACTTCATTTGGTGGTGCAGAATCAGAAACTCCTTCGGCGCGTGCTTTACCTTATCATCATTGACTCCATCGTCCTGCTAATTCCCACGACCGTTCTCAACTATCTGACCGTCTACGTTGGCACGCTGCCCGTTATCAAAGGATACAATGTTGTGGAGCGCATGCAAGTTTCCTGGTTCGCAGCGCAGGAGATGTTCATTTCTGGAATCTATATCGTGGAGACCGTCAGGTTGCTTCGGCTGCGGCCGGACAAAGCAGCGAACCGGAACAAGATCATGTATGAGTTGATCGCGATCAATCTTGTAATGGTGCTCTTGGACGTGGCTCTCCTGGTCTTGGAGTACCTCGGTCTCTACACACTTCAGGTGACCATCAAGGCGGCGGTATACAGCGTCAAGCTCAAGCTCGAGTTTGGTGTACTGAGGAAGCTTGTCTCTCTCGTCCATGCTCCTCAAGTCTCGAGTACCACCGACATCGACGAGTATCCCACCTTTGTCGACCCATCTCAAATCAATGGCGATGTCACACACGCGGCGCCGGTCCATCAACGAACATCTTCACGCCCATGGGATGCAATCTCACTCGACAGCCTTGTTCGATCCGAGCGGAACAGTCGACACTTTGAACATACCGAACCTCCATGACACTGGACATGATATTATCAACCATTCGAAAATACAGACTAAATGTGTCTCAACCTTTCAAACAGTGTAGGACGGTGTCCTCTTCCAGTACATCCAGATTTTGGATTATTGGTATCGGCCGCAGCTTGCAATCATTCCTGGCCCAGCCAGACTGAGATTTCAAGCAGCCGCCTGCACCGGGCCGACCCCATCAGTATGAAGCTTTGCCGTCGATCTTGCGTCGAGCTTAGCTGTCATGTACGATTTCGGCAAGTACGAACCTGTACACCTCCAGGAACGCTTCCTCATATTGTACCATCTATTGTACTGTCCACTGCACTGTCTGTGAAAGACTTGGACACGACTTGGAAAGCATGCGCTTGGCACATCATGTACATTGCTTCGCAGATGTATATTACTGTATATCATTGCCAACCTTGTAGATATGAGCCTGATACGAGTCCTGTATCCCATAATCCATGAATATGTTATTTCGTTCCTGCGGTCACCTACCTACGGTAGAGCGGCGATGCACCTGTGCAACGCCACACAGGTGGCACTCCGTAGCCACCACAACTCACACGCCTTGTCAGTAACTAGACCGAACCTACGACCAACCTACACCAACCATGCAGCAAGTCTACACCCACGAAGGACCCTATGAGTCAATCCCCTCGACCGCATCCCCAGGACTCCAGTTCCTCAAACACTTCCTCCCCGCCCTAGACACCCTCGATCCAAACGCAAACCCCGTCTCCCCCTTCATCCACCCCGACGCCCGAGTCTTCGTCGGCAGCGGCCCTCCAAACAGAGGCACAGACGTCGTCGGCCTCCTAAACGTCCGCCAGCGACATATCCGGCACTTCCACCACGATGTCCACAAGGCATGGGATATCGCACGAACAGACACAGGGAGCGATAGCGATACCGGTACCGATACCCGGACGGTGATGTTCGAGGCGACGAGCGGCACCGTCTTCCGTAATGACCCGGATGAATTCGAGGTGCGGGTGCGGGAGTTTAACGTTCTCGAGCTGGAGAGGGAAGGCTCTCAGTCCGACGGCGATGACGAGGATAAGGGAGGGTTTGTCGCGGTCGAGATGCGGACGTACATGGATGCTCGGCCGGTGCAGGACCAGGCGGCGCGATTGCAGCGCGAGTCGGCGTATGGGGAGGCGAAGTCAACGGGGTGATTTGGCGTTCAGTATTCAATATAGACAAAGGCTACTCTAGTGGCTGTCATCAATACGTTTGTGGTGCCGTTCTTATCAATCCCAGTGTTTCATATCTGTTAGTGTATCCGTAGAAAGGAACGTAGGAGACTCTCTTTCGGGGGTGCATGATGTCATCCATAAGAAAGTTTGCCGCACTGGCTAATTCGATGATATACTGCTTTTAGGACGGAGAGTCAGGTTGAGATGCAGGCCAACGACGCCTGGGTGTGCTGCGCCCCAAGCGACTCAAGGGGTGCCTGAGGCGTTCATCAGACCCTTTCTTGGCTTCAAATTTCGCTTGGGGATAAATTGCGGACACCTCAGGCATATCTCTAGCTACCGAGGTGTTATTCATATGCAAACTGGCGCCTCAGGCATTAACCGCAAGAGGAAGGCTCCAGAGCGATCATTGGATAGCCAAGCTCCGAGGGTCCGGAATCATAAGGTACCTAGATGACATGCAGCTGCTAAAAGTGGGATCTCTCCCTCTTCCACTGTCAACTATCGTACGGACAATGGGTCCTGGCAAGCTGGCAACAATTCAACTCCGTACGGAGTACTATGACCTAGATTTTCATGACTAGGGGATTTCAGTAGTCCATCTGCCACTGCCAATGTGTATCGACTAAGCAATTCCGTCAGCTTGGTTCGATGGCGGGACACTGGGGCAGTTGCCCGCAAAACGCAGCGCATTGGAGCCCTCTTTGAAGTCTTTGGTTGCATCGTACAATATATGCTTCTACTCGGATCTTGTTCGTATTGATACGGGCTATCTCACCCACCTACTCTGTTAACCGTCGCTAACTGTTCCTTTCTGTCATGTTCAGAGCTTCTCCCACCTGCCCCGCATTCAGCCGGGCCTCTGCGACTACGGTTTTTTCTTACCTTTTCCACAAGGATTCACACCCGGAATCCACTGCATCGGCGCCTTCTGGCTGCCTTTCGAGCCAGATCAGTCTCAACGGTAGATATTGTGACGAGGTGCAGGAACTGGCCTGGATTGATGAAGTGGACGTGAAACCGAGGTCGACGTGATTGGGGCCTTGCCAACCAAACAACCCATTCGCCAAATGATGGTATAGTCACGTCGGGTCGCTGCGTTTCGTTTTTCAAGTTGTCGTCCAGCATGGCGTCGAGAGCCAATGCCTCCTCTCCGACGAGGTAGAAGACTGACGAGGATCCCGCCGAAACAGCGTCAGGAGCTGTAGGAGAGGAAGGCGCCGTCACTTACACAACGAACTCAGGCCTGGGGCGTGCCACAAGCTTCGAGAGCACAGACCGAGTGTACCCGATCCGGTCCGTCGTCTCCGTTGATCCCTCAACGGCCTCTTTTAGTTATGATTGAGATTGAGAATGAGAAATGAGATGAGATTGCTTTCCTTATGATCCGCCTCCCCTTCTAGTTGAACTGATGTCCAACCCGGACACTCAGTCGCAACAGCATACGCAGAGTAGTTTGAGCTCACCCGCCATCGGAGCGCGAGAATGGTCTATCATCGATGCCGAGACCTGGGATAAGATACGAACGCAAACGAAAACAAGTACAGGTGAACCTGCCGCTACTGAACCCTCTCCGTCAGCACCGGATACTGCACGTTCATCGTCTAATCCTCACGGCCTCAGTCACGCGCCGGTTCCGGGCTCTGCTCTGACCAAGACCCAGGATACAGAGGCCGATCCCGACCATGGTCTTGTTACTGCCCGATTTCGTCATGTAGTGACCGATGGTGGTCATATAGTCATCACTGGAAGAGCCAATGACTCGTATCAAGCATGCGAAGACGAACCGGTCCGCATCCCTGGTGCGGTGCAGAGTTTTGGGTGTTTGATTGTGCTGCGGGAGGAAATTGACGGGAAGTTGGCAGTCCATGTAGCCAGCGAGAACTCCGAGGTCATCCTTGGGTATTCACCCAAGTGTCTCTGTGCATTACCAAACTTCTGTGACATTTTGGATGAAGATCAGACAGAAAATCTATTGGATCATCTTGATTTCGTCCGCGATGATGGATACGACCCTTCCGTCGATGGCCCCGAGGTTTTCCTTTTGTCTGTGAAACTGCCTTCTGGTAAACCTCGGCGATTCTGGTGCGCCGCCCATCTCAGCCCAGCCGACTCAAAGTTGGTCATCTGCGAGTTTAAATTAGAGGAAGACCAAATCAATCCCTTGAGTGTTTCTGGTCTGATCACCCCGGTGACACCGACCGATACTCTTGGAGTCGAACCGACGCCAGAGCAACTCGAGCACAGCACTGTTAATATGAGTCAACCCCTGCGAGTGCTACAAAACGCGCGTCGGAGACGAGGCGAGGCCGCTGCAATGGAAGTGTTTAGCATTTTGTCTCAGATCCAAGATCAATTGGGTCGTGCCAAGTCGTTGGATTCCTTGTTAAACACGGCCACTGGTTTGGTGAAAGAATTGACTGGTTTCCACCGTGTGCTGATCTATCAGTTCGATACCGACTGGAACGAAACTGTTGTTGCTGAACTGGTTGATCCCAAAGCGAGCGTCGAGTTGTACAAAGGACTCTGCTTTCCAGCCTCTGATATCCCGAAGCAAGCGCGCGACTTGTATCGAATCAACAAAGTCCGATTGCTGTATGATCGCGATCAGGTCACGTCGCGCTTGGTCTGCCGGACTCTGGAGGACTTGCAAACTCCTGTAGACATGACGCATTCCTACCTGCGTGCAATGTCGCCCATCCACCTCAAATATCTGGCAAATATGGGCGTGCGTGCTTCTATGTCAATCAGCATCAGCGGCTTCAACGAGCTGTGGGGTCTCATCTCATGTCACACCTATGGGACTCACGGCATGCGAGTCTCCTTTCTGGTTTGAAAAATGTGCCGGTTGATTGGCGACACTGTGTCGCGGAATATCGAACGTCTGTCTTACACATCACGGCTCCAAGCCCGCAAACTGATCAATACCGTCCCGACCGACCAAAATCCCCCTGGGTTCAAGCACATCTCCCACATGCTCTACGTGCCTTTATCACCCAGTGGTACTGATTTCATGGTCTTCTTCCGTCAGGGACATCTTATGGAGATTAAATAGGCTGGAAACCCATATGACAAGAGACCTTAAAATAGCCATCTGGAACCGCGCAAGAGTTTCTAAACATAGCAAGAAACAGTCCTAGATCAGTCTTGAGAATAGACTAAGTCCAATGTTGAGATGGGTGTATATATTAAGATCACCACTACAAAGCACCTAGGGCCCTGCCACCTGCACGCTGGCCAGGCCAGGGAGGCTACTGTGGTGGAAATCTCCTGGATCTCACCCACAATTGCCGTGATGGTAGTTTGCTTGTATGGGCTAGCTCCTGGGCCGTGGCCATGCCCGCGCTACTAGATCCAGGTGTGGTTCTTGTCATTGCGGGGGGGTGCGGCCGGGGGAGGGAGGAGGGGGAGGAAGGTGGTGGTTAAAGATGGGTTACTTAGTACCTGTTAGGTCCAGCTAAGGACCCCCTGGGCCCTGGGAGTTATGGCTGAGGAAGTAGCTAAGCCATGCTCACTAGCTTCTACACTATTCATGCCATGATCACTGGCTATGGCATCGCGGAATTAGCTATCTAGCAGCTTCCTGACTAGGGTGAGGGCTTGCTAAGCAAAGCCTTTGACCCAGGGGGCCTTGGCAGACTTGCCAGTGTGAGCCTGAGTGAATTTGATGACATCCATACAGTGCACCATGAAACAAAAGGAATGATTGACCCAGTGCAGGGAGACAGCCTGACGGGAGGGGGCACGGAGCCCTAATCCAGTCAGGTGACTGCTGTTGAATTAGATTACTGCTTACTGGATGGAGAAATTCGGCCATTCCTTCGATAAACCTTCCGGTATACGATCGCGAAGACACCAGAAATCTACAGAATCATGATTATAAATTCGATATCACCGATGCAGAAGCATTTCGAATCTGAATGCCTTCATTTTTGGCTATAAATATGGCCTAGATAGTCACTCGTTGAAAAGAATCAGACCTTCATTTGATTTCAATCTTACATACAAATTCTTAGTCATATCGAAACCTTACTAGCGTAGTCGATTTCAAAAACTGCTCTGCCCGAAGGGTCGTCATCAGCAAATAGTTCGGGCTGGGCGTGCCAACGGCCAAATCTCAGAGGGTTACAGTTCAGCAAGGTCTCAGGGGATGTAGGGCAACCTTAAGACCTTATTAAACATTCCTGATATATTAGCTCAGCAAGGTCTCTAATTAGATCTATATATTTTAACCTTATTCAACTTTTATTAGGTTTGTATTTAATACCCCCTACAATCTATAGACTAGGTGTAATATAGAAAAATCATCATATAGTAGGGATTCGAATCGTCATATAGTAGGGATATTAAATGATTTGAATCATTGCCATCTCACACCCCTTGATAAGCTGATCTAGGGTCTTCACTCTTCACAGCCCTAAGCTGCATAGTGCTCTAGCTCCATACAGGCCTGTAGTGCGCAGCCAGCTCAGTCCTGATCTAGATGCAGACCAGCAAGATCGCCCTTACGGGCTACCTCGGCTCCTTCAGGGCAATGTCTATGGTAGACTACGCCTGCGGCCTTGGCTGTCAGGATGTTCAGCATATACTAATCACCTGCCTAACCTACTCAGAGCTCTGGCTCCGCACAGTCTAGCGGGGGTTATGGAAGACTAATTATACTCACCTACTCTGTGAATCTAAATCAGTACAGCAAGCTGCCCAATTCATGATTGCTACACGGCTCCTAGGCCAGTTCCAGGGCCTGACAGACACATTCCAGGTTAGCACTAAGGCTGGCGACCCCTAACCTGCGTACCGCCACTGCTCGCTTGCAGGGCTTATTTAATGAGGGAGGACACTATGCTAGACGCCCCTTAGGGTGACTAGATTATTTAGACGCGGGAATGGAAGCAATGGGCGTTACGGATATACTAGGCGTATCTACAGGAGCTTAGGGACAGTTAGACGTACCGTGGATCTAGTGTATGTAAGATAGCAGCGGCTTACCCAGCCGCCAGTCAAAGACATGCCGCCACTCGGCCGACAGGGCTGACAGAAGCATGAATGAAATTAATATAATAATAATAATAAATCAAAGTTGTAGATATCTTCAGGTGTAATCCCATACTGCATTATTGTGATCTGGACACGGAACCATTCCAGGATGATCTTTGGGTCTTCGCATTTAGCACGCTGGTGATTATAGCGCCTAGAGAATCGGGTTTTAATCTCACCATGCCGATTAATGAAGTTATATACCCATTTCTCTCTAACAGCCTGGGTAGGAGTTGAACCACGCTGCGCAAGCAGGATATTCGCCATTTCTCGCACATGGGATGGTTGGGGAGCCGCTCCACGTTGATCCATAGATAGAATCCATCTAATAAGTGATTCCTCTTCATTCTGTGTCATTTTATGCCTGTTTGCGCGTGCCTCAGGTTGAAAGGCATGGCCATCTATGCGTCGTTGAAGAGTTGTGCGGGGGACATTAAAAACACATGCAGCTTCAGAAACAGTGTGAATTTGATCATTCTTAAGAGCAGATATTGCAAGGAGAATCCTTCCCTCTTGCTCCACCAAATTTGCAGAGGTTTGACGCAATTTTGGTGGCATAGTAGCTGTTTGGATAGCTTCGAATTGAACGCGTTGGAATCGAATGGGAAAAGTGGCTGCTTGGTTGAAATGGCCGCTCGCTTACCGATTAACCTTGCTGAGCTAATATATTAGAAACAACCCTGAGACCTTGTCAAACTTTCCCAAGACCTTGCTGAACTGCATGCCCCCTAGCGAGATAAGGAAGGATGCAGTAATTTAATTGAATTTTACCTTCAGACTGTGCCTTCCTTTTCGGGGCTTTTCCGCCGTATGTTATTAATGCAGTGCAAAATGTAGTATAAAGTAATAAAGCTGCTACTAGACATGAGCCAATCACTATATAACTATACTAACTGGCAATAAGTTGGTTTTTTAAATTGGCTTTGACATTAATTCTATAAAGGACACTGTGCTCCCCCCTTCAAAATCATATTCAACTACTTCATCTGTATTAACTAACTGATAATAAGACTCTTTGGTTTCTTTCAACCCATACTATGCACTTTATTAATTTACTAATCCTTGCTTTTTCAGCTTTGAGCTACTTTGCTCTTGAAGTTGTTGCAATTGCCCCTATTAGAGACACTTGCACAGATTTTACACTTAAATCTGATCTTCATTCTCGTTGGCCTTATTTCCTTAATGCCCATTGCCTAAGGACGTCTGGAGACGTCAGCGGTGCCTCAATCAATCTGGATTTATGTTTTACCAATGATAATCAGAACCTCATTGGCCGGCTCAAGTAAGGTCTCTCCTTCACTATCTATAATTATAACTCTATACCTCTTTACTCCCTCTTCGCCTAGTTACCTACTTCCTTTTTTATTATATTTCTTAACTTAATCTCTCTTGCTAACACATATCTACAGTGGTGATTTTAGTCGGAGCTGTGAAGATGTATCTTTTGGTGGTTTTAAGAAAACTATCCTCTATGCCACTTGTCAAGATTCAAATGGAGGCCGCCACCTTACTCAAATTGATACAAGTAAGTCTCTATATCAATCACCAGTACTAGTATGGCTATTGACAATAGTGAACAGATGATATCATCGGAAATGATGATGGGGTCCTGAAATGTTTTGGTCAGGATAGCCTGGCTAGGGGCTAAGGGGTATCCCTCCTTAGAAATCGTCATCCTGTGGTTATGACTGTCGTGCCTTCCTGTTACAAAGTCCTTAGGCGCAACACTCTAGTGCGGGGGAAGGAACACTGATAACAGCCAGTAGGCTATCAGAAACTACCTATGGTATAATCAGGACTACCCAGGATAAAACATGGACCCATGAAGGGCTGGATATATAAGGATACTCATTTACTATTATATAGTTCTTTGCAATCAATCTTACATTATTACTTAAATACCACCTTTGGTACTTTGCATTTCCGAGCGCGGCACCGGTCTCCCCACCTCCGCCTGGCCAGGAACCCATTACCCACTCTGGAGTTCCAATGACAGCGATACGCATTCCGCCAGAAGACGTGGAGCGGCCACCCTCACCTCCGGCCAAAGCTTTGCCAAGCCAGCGTGAGACCTCCGCAGAGTTGCCAAGCACGGCGGAACTATCCTCAGCGCCTGCCCCCAATGCTGAGCCGACTACTCTGCGCCTTCTCGTTGCCGAGGACGACCCTATAAGATCGACGTTGTCCTGATGGATATTCAGGTAATTAACTTCTTTTCCTCTGTAAGGCATTCAGGCCATGATATCCCAGTGAGATGCCAATTGTCGACGGCATAGAGTCTACTCGGATGATCCGCCAGTTTGAGCGAGGATTTGAAATCCCGCTGTCTGACAAAGCCAGCAAGAATGGTCGCGTACCCGTCTTCGCTGTCTCAGCATCGCTCCTTGAGAAAGACGCACAACTGTACATTGAAGCCGGCTTTGACGGGTGGATCATGGAACCCATCAACTTCAACTGGTTGGGTGTTCTCTTCGACGGTCTTCAGAACCATGACATCCGCAATGCAGCCACCTACCAACCTGGCCATTGGGAGTTGGGAGGCTGGTTCAAACGCCATGAAGAACTTTGAACTTCTACAACTTTTTTCCTGTCCTTTTATCGTCTCATCACATCATCATCGGCACCTAGCCTCAGCAACTCGTTCCGACGGGTCTCATTTGTGGAATTGTCAGTTGTCGTCATCAATCATGAGCGGAGGTGTTGTGGGTTTGTTTCCACGAGGGATCCAGAAGTTCCGAAGGAGTTTTCCATCTTTCTCTGAATTCGATTTTGTCATTTTGATTGATTTTGCCTCACATATACCCAGCTGAGGAATACATCCATATCACGCGTCACTGATTGATGAGAAGCCTGTCATATCATGTCGCTGGGCAATGATAGCTCTGCATGCATTTGATGGTTTTCTTCTGTAGTTTGGTTGTGGCGTTAATTAACCATCTCTCTATTCGGTATCTGCGCTGTGCAGATCTTCGATGCATCTTATGCGCGACTACAAAGCTAGTCTGTGGTTTTCCCCTGGAGATTGTGGCTTGGCAGTGATGCTTTTGTCGATATGTATTAAGCCAGAAAGTTAGGCCCACATACTCGACATCGAGCGACTACAGGTGCGCCGTATCGCGAAGTTGAAGAGACCATCTTGAGCACTCCACTAGCTAAAGTATCTCTAATAATGGACCCGGTGGGAATCTCGTTGGTCCGGAGCATATAAAGAACGAGCGCAGCATGAAACGTCTAAACTCAAAAACAAATGCTTCCTAGTACTACAGTGGTATGATATTATTTTGACATACAAGAGTAAGCTCATCTTAGCTTCGCCAGTCTATAGTCATATACTGGTTACTAGACTCCAGCACCACGGTGAGGTGTGAGCTTATCACTGGAGGCCTGGAGGCCGCCATCAGAGATGACGACCAGGCACCTACTTGCGCAGGACTTTTGTCCATAAATTAGTGTAGATGACACTGCAGTGCCATCAAAGGTAATGGACACATTCCAGTGCTATCAAAGGTAACCAGGGCATATTGCAGCGCCTTCAAAGATAACCAGGGCATATTGCAGCGCCTTCAAAGTTAATCAGGACACATTGCAGTGCCATCAAAGGTAACCAGGGCATATTGCAGCGCCATCAAAGGTAAGGAGGACACTTCTGCAGTGCCTGCCTCTGTCTCCACCTCAGCCGCTCAAACATCATGGAAAATCTCGGCAGGCTCTTGGGCTGACGCTTGAGCAGCCTCTGTGTTTGTCCTTGTTTTCAGCGGAGAGTGCGTAGTGGATGCCGAACTGAGAGAAAGCCTCAGGGCTCTGCCATCCATCTGTCTATGACTTCTTTGTTATAGGTCTCCGACTCGTAGTCATCGTCTTCTGGGTCTGGGTCCTCTGCGGCCGCAGATAAGGCCACGATCTGGGTCAACTTCCACGACATTTGTAACAGCGTGAAACTGGGCAGGGGGTGAGTGACTGGGTTGCTCGTCTTCAGAACGAACGGGCGCCCAGATTGAATCCGACAACCTTCAAAAGTGTAGGAAAACCTGCCCCCGGACTGATCGAGACCCGTGGTCGATGACGGGCGTCTTGAAAGATCCACCTTGTCTGTCGGCCCATGGGGCTTGTGAGGCAACCAATGAAATTCGCACTCCATTTCCCGACTGTCAGAAGACACACGAAGTGGTTTGAACGCACAATATCCGTCCGCCCAGTCCTCATGTACACTGCTGGAGAGACAAATGAGATTTTCTGGGATGCTGTCGGGGTCTGGGAAGATTGCGTTCTTCCATTGGAGGACATGCTCATTGTCAAAGAACAGCGACAACAACTTCCAAAGGTCAGGTATAGGTCTTGTGAGATCTGTAGGCTTCTTTTTCTTTAACAAGCAATGGGGGACAATGTGACAAACTTGGACTTCCTGACGTCCAGTGACTACGCACTTGCCTCCATCGCGTTCTTTAGCGATTTTTCTAGCTGATCTGGAACGGGGAACAGCATCAGAAAGGTTCGATTCTCGTGACGAAGATGAACATGATGAGCCACGATCTTTCGGTGGGTTCTGACGCCACATGCGGGGAAGCGCGTAGAAGGCGTCGGATAACATTTTGCGTAAGCGTGGTGCCGCTTGAGCTTCTTGGATGAAAGTCCCTTAACGCTGATAAGTCCGCTACTTGGAGGCAGGCCCAAAACGACGCGGGTACAGCCTGCGTCCCAAGTGCCTGGCCAAGTTCCAGCAAAAGAGCTTCCCTGTCATCTGGAGGAGGTAGAGAAGGGGCATCTGCTGGTAGCGGGGAACCATGGTATATCGCTGTGGTCGAACGTTGTCTCACTGGGGATGATTGAGCTGGAGCATTGTCGACATCCATTTGGGTCGAGTGGGTAGACATGGTTCTGTTACGCACGCAGCTAAAGAAACCTGGAGCCAAGAACGGGACTAGAAAAGTAGATCCTTACCTAGAGAAGGAAGACTGATAAGACGAAGTCCAATTTGGGTCGGTAAAGAATGTTTCTCGTTGGCTGAAGAGGGAAGATTTTGTGGAGTGGCAGAATAGAATTAGGTGGAGGTAGAACATTCAGGTTGTGGCGGGTGGGCCGCGCTAATTCTAAAGCAGACCGAGCCCTAATCTAGTTAGGGCAATTTGTACTTCGGTAGCCAAGATGCCTGAGGTGTCTGCAATCATTTGAAGCCAAGGAAGGCGCTGTTGTTGGCTTTTTCTTAACTGATCTTATGAGAGGTACTTTGTCCTAGAAAATAAAATGCATCATTGAGTTCGCCAGTGCAGCGAACTTTCTTATGGATGACATTATGTATCCTGAATGAGATTCCTCTACGGAGTAACCTCTCTACGGATACAGTACAGTAATGGATATGAAACTGTAATTGATAAGAACAGCGGCTCATGTGTTATCCTCAAACCTCGAGACAGGTTGGCAAACTATACCTCTCTACACTGCGCATAAATACTCTGGCTCAGGCGACAGATCGTAACATCAAATCCAGCTCAGAATGGCTGGCAGTGTTGACAGTTGGGTTGGGAGGAATAGACAGGAGTTCGAGGGGGTGGTCCGTGCTGAAGCTGCTGATCAACTTCCTCACCGTCGTCATTGCAACCTGTCAAGCCTCCACTCTAAACACACCCAGACCTTCTTCATCCATCACCCTCTACCTTGGAATTCGAGGTCTCCTTCCTCTATCTGCTGCAGAATGACTTTGCGGTAGTATCCTGCGATCTCTATTGATACTGCTCCCTCCTTTCGATTCAGGAACCGCCAGTGATGGTGTCCCTGTGGCCCTGGAAGGTAAGTTATCCGTGTCTCCTCCTGGAATGCGCAGTGACAGAGCGCTGACGACTATTGCACGATCGCAGGGCGAAGACAATTCTCCAGCATCCTTCGAAAAGGCCCTCTCAATCCTCTCCACAAAGATAACACAGACAACGAACCGACTTGACCATCACCGCCAGCATGCCCGTCGATTCAAGGCTCTCTGGACTCTCTACACCACCTTCGCATACCTCCTTTACTCGATTATCCTAGCACTCGTTCTCGGCTGGCAGAATTGGGGTGTGACGGAATACGCTGCCATCGTTGGGGGCCCAGTCCTGTACGAAAATCTCCCAGGAGAAGCTCGAGTCCTTGTATGACGTCTGACTTGAGCAGGATCTACGCTGTCCGAGCCGTAGCTAGCAAGTTCTTTGACTACCGCATCAGCAAGACCCAGCGACACCTCGATGATCTACAGAAACAGCGGGAGGAGACTATCGAGAAGCTCAAGGTCGCAACGAAATACAACTCGACTCAACAGCTGCTGGAAAAGTATGGCGGAGAGTCACCCAAGCCGTCGCGTCCCAAGGGCGGCGACGAGAAACGCAAGACAGACGCCAAACGCAAGCAGCCTTCTACCCCGCAACAACCCGTCATGAGAACCGGGCTTCCTCCCCCACCGACCGCCAACATCCGAAGACCAACTCCGGCTCAATCGCCAGTGCGCTCTCCCGGCCAGCCTCAATCTCCGCCACCATATCCGATTCAAGGACAGCCACAACCCGAGAACATCCATCCACCGCCCCCTCCTGCATTTGACGAACCCGGCTTTGCGCCCAACGCGTTTCCAAGCGCTCCGCAATATGTCGAGCACTCTCACTGGTACGACCGGTTGCTAGATGTCCTACTCGGGGAGGACGAGGCACAACCAAAGAACCGGATTGCGTTGATCTGCGCCACCTGCCGACTCGTCAACGGGCAAGCCCCGCCGGGTGTCAAGGCGCTGGAAGAGCTCGGCCGCTGGCGGTGCGGAAGCTGCGGGGCATGGAACGGGGAAGAGAGCGAGGCGAAGAAGGTGCTCGCGGGGATCCGGAATCAAGCCCGATCTGCGGACGGAGCGTGGGAATCGGTCGCGAAGCCGGACTCGGATTCGCACTCGGCAGGTGACGCGACGGACGAGGCGGTGATGGTCGCATCGAGCGAGGATGAGCAGGTTGAATCGCCGAGTTCCGGGGTGGAATCTCAGGATGAAGCTGATCAGCAGCCACAGGAGCAGGAGACCCCCGAGGCCAGTGGCAGCAAGACGGGCCGTGGACGGGCAAAGGGGACCAGGAGGAAAGGATGATCGGGGGATTTGTGTTCTTCAGCTATATTTATACCTACGGTCACTATAGCATAGGGTATTCTTTGGGCGTCACATCATCAAATGGCATTCACTCATGTGGTCTATACGTGTCAGAATCTCCGCAAAGTCTCGGAGTACTGGGACTTTCAGCTCGTATTCAACGGTGTAGAACCCTCCTGCGCCCTCTGTGTCAGTAATTTAATTGAATCAACCGCAGCGGTCACCTCCGCCTCTTCAGCCGTCAAGCACCCCGTCACAACAAACACCTCCACCTGCTCAATCCGAACCGAGCAGTTGTAGCTCGCACCGCCCTCCCCGTCGAGAACCCGCTGCGCCACAAACTGGATATTACTCTTAGCCAACTGCTGCGCCACGCTCCTCGGATGCGTAACATCAATCCCATGGTCCAGTATCCGACGCAGGTAGGCCATCAGCCCGATCCGCTTGACGAAGACCTCACAAGGCGCAAGGTCACCGCCGGAGTCGACAAAAATGGCGCCGAGGACGCTCTCGACGATATCCGAGAAGAACTTGTCCGCGTTGAGCCGGGAGAGGGCCTGCCAGGGGTAATGCGGGGCATGCAGCAGGGACGAGGCGATCTCGTCTCGGAGGGCGCGGTGGCGGGCGAGCGAGGCGTCGCGGGCGATGCTGAGGGCTTGACCGCGGTAGCGCATGAAGCGCCAGAGCTCGACGGATTCCTGGGAGGACGTCACGGCGAAGGAGTCCTTGGCTGTCTGCGCGACGTCGAGTTTCTCTTCGGGGATGGCGAATTCCATGCAGAGGAAGGCGAGGAGGTTCGCGTTTACGACGGCGTGCTTGATCTTTGTCATGTCGCCTTGCGGGCGTTGGATGGGGTGGTTGAACATCGCGGAGACGATGACCATGTCGAGGACTGCGTCGCCGAGGAATTCGAGGCGCTGGTAGGATTGGGTTGTTGAGTCATAGTCGCAGGAGGGGTGGGTGAGGGCCTCGACGAGAAGGGACTCGTCTTCGAATGCGTAGCCGATGTGCTGCTTCAGTCGTTCGTTCAGCATATGCCGGGCGCTCTCGGGAGCCACACTCCGGGTTGCGGTTCGAGTGTCCACCTCGTGGAGGTTGATCTCGGGCAAGAGTCGGCGGATGCATGCCTGTGCGGTTGCGTGGCCGCCGTCCATGTATGCTGCTCCGATCAGCGCCTCTACCACGTCCGCCAGCACTTTCGTCGACATCTGGCGCTTGGCTGGCACACGGTCTAACTTTTCCGAGATCAGCGGCGCGGACCATTTCCGCGGTGTGAACCTCTTAGTGATGATGTAGGCGTCGAGGCCGGTGTCCAGCGCGGCTTTGGCAAGACGAGGATTCTGCACGATCATGTCCCGGCCCTCGGACAGATACCCTTCGTGCCAGTTCGGGTGCTGAAAGAACAACTGGCAAGAAACAGAGAATTTGAGGATCGAGTCACCTAGGAACTCGTACCGCTGGTAATTGGTCAATGCTTGAGCGACAGGCGCAGTGATTGCGGTAATGATGTGCTCAGTGCTCGTAAAGCCGACATCTCTCAGGATCATTTCTCTAAGTCTGGTTGCGATCAGCTCGATCTCCAATCGCTCTACAATGACGGAGATGAATAGGCCGAATATAGCCATTGTGAACGGAAGCCTATCGATGGTGCACGCATCTGCAGGGACAATGCGGCTCTTGGCTGCAGACTCGGGGATTTCTTCATCGACATCCACCCGGCTATTAGCCAGCGTCTGCCGATGCAGGAGATTGCGTCTCCGCGGAAAAGGATCGCATTCCAACTCGACGACTGAAGATGACGGGTTCTGGTCGGAGACAAGCCATCTCCGGAACAAAAATGGTTCTCCGTAACGCGAATTATCCCGAACCACGCCCATGAGCAGTGGGTTGTGGCTACGCGAGTAGACTTCCAAGGCCGGGTTACTCCCCTCATAAGCATTCAGCCACGCCTTCAGCTCTGTATGATGCAGATCTGGTGCGAACAGTGCCGCAAAATCTCGCTCGGAGCTGCAGGCCCGAGAGCTGGTCGCCTGGAGATAGAGTGCTGTGATCGCCCTCATGTCTTCGACACTGCTCAAGGGTACGAGTGGCGCCCGCTCTGCTGCGTCAAAGGTCACAGTAAATGTGGTCGAATTGTCCCAAAACAGAGTCATCGGTGAGAGGGGCGGTAAGTACGTAGGTCCCGTCAACCGCATACACAGCTCATCGCCTCCCCCTTCATTCAGTCTCACCACGATCCGACTTTGATGGATATCAGGCGACGACCATGAGTAGGCCCATTCAATCCATGGATCATATTGTTCTGCCGTCTCCAATATCGAGGGCATAGCTCCCAAGTCATGCGATTTTAGTTCTGGCTTTTTCGTCAACGGCAGAAGGTGATCGTTGACGAGGCCAAACTCGTAAAGAGCCTTATATGCCTGGAAGGCTGTCTCTTTCATCGCTGCTCTTTCTGTGCACCACCATCTTCTACCTTCAGTTCGTCGGACCTTCGGATGCACGCAACTGGGCAGGATTACCGTCCCCTTTAGAAGCCCATCCTCGTTCGTTTCGAACGAGAACACGGGCCGCACGTCCACATAAGGCTGTGAAGGCAATACGGCGCAGAAGTGGTGCAGGTGTGCCATGGCCATGTCCGCTGTGAGAACAGCGCTGATAATAAGAAATCATTATTGGAACCTTCAAGGAAATTGGGAAGTGAAAAGAACCATACCTTGTAGACTCGACAATAAGTCGCTCCATGACTTCCTCATCCAGACTCTCCAATGCAGAGGCGCTTTTCAGCTGTCGCTCATCATCCTGATAGGCCTCTATCATGGCCTGTTCGAGACCTTGCCACTTGGAAACATCGGCAGAGGCATCGTCTGTTGGGAACATGATTGCAAAGGTCGACTGCTTCCGCCTTGCCCGCCCACGGCGCTGGACGAAGGACTTGAGGTTGGGCGGTTTGTCATAGCAAACAACGACGCTGCACGCGCTGATGTCAATGCCTTCTTCGAGAACATCCGTGGCTATTATGAGGTTCTTGCGGCCGCTGCGGAAATCATCCAGTGTATCGCGCTGCAACTGCATATTCAAGAGATCGCCGAGAATGTCCTTGCTGGCGCTGCCGTTGGACCAGCCGACGTAGGCCGCACATCTAAACCGTTTTCGCGTCGAAGGATGCACTGAGAGAAGACTAGTCATGGCGCTGACTGTTGCCCTCTGCTTGACAAAGATCAATCCCGAGAACTCCGGCTCATCCAGTGAGTCCAGGAAGTTGAGGAGAGATTCGAGCTTCGGAGAGATGCGAAAGCTATCCGGATCGTTCAACGCAAGCTGGATTTCTGAAGCCGGGATTTTCGAGAGAAAGTCCACTAGGTACGCTTTCTCGGCTTCGTCCCAGTCGCCGCTCATATACGAGTCGCAGACGCGATCTCTGAGCTGTTTGATGGACGCGTGGATGTAGTACTCGGCAGCCCATTCTCCGAGTTCCTCGAAGATATGGCGACTGCGATCGACGAACCTTCTCAACTGCTCCCGACAATACGTTTTGCCCGTCATGAGCGCTTTTTGCAGAGCTCCCTCGTCAAGGGAACTTTTTCTGAGCCGCTTTATATAGGGGTCATCCTCGATGTCCAAGGTTTCCCAGGCGTAGTAAAGGGCCCCCAGTGTCTGATTTGCGCCCTTGAACCCCGTAGGATCAGTCGGCGTGTACCAAATCTGCTGCAAGTGCGGTCTATGGGTGAATTTTAGGAGCTCCTGTCGGTGCACGCGTGGTGTTCTGCATACCGCGTCGAGGTTGGATTCGACCGTTCTGGTTGGCAAGTCAGCAGGTCAACCAGAAACATCGCAAAAGCTTGGCAGCACTGACAAGAGCTCCTGGTGATTCGATCTGACCACCGGACTGGCTGTTAGGCCCATAATGCGAGGGACAGCAACGGGGCCGAATTTCGTTAAAGTCGGATGGTAGAAGTCCCGCATGATTTTGTTTGCGGCATGCCTTCGCGTGCAGTGGTGCGCTACAGTTTGTCTTTATCAACGCCATTCTTTCCATGAGTAGAGCGCAGATTGTAGACATACCTTCATCGAAGATGATCAGAGCCAGCTGAGTCATTTTCACGAAGCCGTGGCTAAGGGCATCTGCAAGGACCGCGTGCGTCGATACAATGACTCGGTAACCATTTAGAACGGCATCCCAGATCGACTGCTCGGTCCATAATTCGACTTTGTCGAGTCCAGTGAGCGTCCGTGTTCTCACTGCTGGTAAATTGGACGCGATCACTTCATGCTGTTGTATACACAAGGCGACCGTCGGGGCCAAGAACCAGACGAGCTGAAGAGGGAATGATCAGCACAATTTCAAGTGCAGTGCTCGGAATCAATGAGAATATACCTTATCTGGAGGGCAAATGTCCAGCTCTGCCTTGATTCGTAGTACCGCTCTACAGTTGACTGTCAAAATATGGCCCGGTACAGCACGGGAGAGGGGAGTAACGACAGCCGGCAAGGACCGCACAGGCAGACATACATATGCGTTTTACCACTCCCTGTATCCATCTAAAGGATTGTTATCATTGCCATTCTGAAGATTCAAGTATAGGATGAGGGAACATACTGCCACAATGATATTCTCCTTCACGCTAGCCTCCAGCATCTCAAGCTGATAATTCCGTGGCTGGTATGCTGAGGCATCTTGGCTTGCAGTAACGGTGGAGGCCATTGTGAAATTGTGACAATCTAGGTAAGGCAAAACAGCAGAGAAAAGTCCTCATTTTCCTGCCATTTGCAAAGGAAATCACAAACAAATCTGAGATGATCCCGAAGGCATGGCGGCTTGACGAATTTGCTGTTTGATCTAAACGCCGAGTGAGTTGAGGGGGAAATATTGAGAGGGTGGTGGGTGGGGTTGATGAGCGGACACCACACAAAGCAGCTCTGCAGCCTTGTTGCCAATGTTATCACAGTATTAATATCGTAGACGCAGCGAGTGAGACTTTTGTTCACTATCAGACAAGAGCAAGGTCTCAATGATTAAGTCCAGCAGGGCCAGTGAAAGACATTCTCATCATGGCTACAATTGATTAAAGGGGGCAGGTATCCATATCTAAGGAGCATCCGCAGTCACAAGACAATAACGCGACATGAATGTACCAACGCGGGAAGCCTCCAGGTCCTTCACAAGAAGAACTGGACAACAGATGAAGCCAATTATCTCAGACCACCATATTTCCTTGCGCGGGATCCGCCTCTTGCCTTCCGAATTGTGTACCTTATCCACCCATGTCGGCAAAGGAGAGGTGAGGTCCAGTGATAGGAAAAGGATGCGATGTGCAGAAAAAAGCACTGAGACACCTGCATTATAGAACCGGCTGGAAAACACGAAATCATACAGACAATGTCAATGACCCAACCCCCTCCGGTTCCAGTCTAAAGCAAGAATAGAGAACTCCGCCTCAAACAGGGCCAGAAATACTATAGATCCACTAGAATCGCGCCATACACCGGAGACAAMCAAGGCAAAACGTCGCAGAACTGGCTTTCGGGCAGAGAAACGTGGAGGCCTTTGGCCAGCAATAGAAGAGGACCAATGAAATTGCAGGAGAACACGAATAATGCTTCATAAGAGGTGATTGAGAATGACCTATGATATGAGCGGGAGCCCGTGTGTTTGTTCCTGCTTGGGCAGTTCGGAAGCTTCGCTTTGTCCTTCATCAGGGCGGACGCGCCTTGCCTGTGCCTGAAAGTTGTTGCCGAGGTAATTTGCCTCTTCGGTAGGAGGTTTGCGCATTCCAAGCCCGGCAACAGCTATGCGGTTCAAGGAGTTCATATCATCATTTGATGCGGGTGCTTGAGGGTGAGCAGCCTGAGGTTGCTGGGGTGCAGTCGGAGGAGCGGCAGCACTGGAGGTGGTCGTTCCCGAGTTTGGAATAGGAGGCACAGGAATTTCACTCCGCGGTTGACTCAGGTCGATGTTGCCAGGCAGCTCCGGAACCTCGCCTTGAGAATCCAATAAGCGAGACTGCAGGTTGATGATGTACTCCCGGAGTTGGTAGTTTTCCGCCTGCAGAGCTTTAATCGCTTCTCCCATGTTCTCGTACGCCTTCACCTTTCCCTCCAACTCCCGGATATGGGCTTCCTTCCGCTGACGGAACGCCCGCTACGCACAAGTTAGTCAAGATTTTGTTGAAAGTTCATAGGAGCGCACGTACCTGCGCGGCACGGTTCTGCGCGGCGCGTTTTGAGGTGGATAACGGCCGTTTGCCGTACGTTTTTGGAGACTCTTGGCTTACATCAGGCTGGCTGGGAGTTTGCGGTGGGCCAGTCAGCATGGTAGCGCCTGAAATGGCAGGATCGATGTTATTCTGATCGCGAGCCGGCGTGCTGGGCTGCATGTGCGGAGGTTGCGGTGCAGGGGGTTGGGGTCGAGCTTGCTGAGGATGCGACAGATGCTGATGAGCAGCTAGAAGCTGATCATGGAGCACTAGAGATATGATGTTAGCTGTCGTAATGCGACGAGCGCTAAACGGTGCTGGCAGGTCGAACGTATAGCAAGCGCCGGAACGCTCGCGGGTGATGAGACGTGCTGTATTCTCAACTGGTACAACATGAAGAGTCACTTACCCTGATCCGCATGGTCCTACAACGTCAACAGCATTAGTACCAGGTTTAAGCGATGCACAGAAGAAGTGCTTGAAAGCGAGCTGTCGATGCGACCGGCAGAAGACTCGAAAATCCATGACGGAAGCAAGCGAGGTCGATCGCCATCGCGTCATAGAGACCGCGACCGAGGAAATCACGGCGACGACGATGAAGGATATCAAGTCCCACCGGATGACACAGCAGCTGAGGGGATTTGGGATCTGGGGAAATTGGGGAAGACGATCTGATGACAAACCGCGACAAGAAGCTGCTTACCTGAGCAGTTTGCATGCTGGTTGGAGCAGGAGCTAATGTATGCATCGAGAATGGAAATGAACAAGACAACAAAAGACGCGCCCAACGAAAACACACAGGACGCAATCAATTCGAGCTAGTTTAAGAGAAGAGCAAAAGAAGCAGATCTGCCTATACGGCACAGTCACTCGTCACGCAAGATGGGAGTAGATGAGGAAGAATGGGCAGGGAAGGTGATGAGGATGAGGTAAGCAGATGGGAGATCGGTCTTTGCTATGTAAGCAGGCAGATCCCTGGTGAGTTTTAATGACTTGCAACTTCGTGGGAAGATGATCTCGTAAGCACGAAAGGAGAGAAGGAAAGAGATTACTTAAAGCAAAAATGACGTGGGGGAAAGTGGCTGGGCGGGTCGGCACTTCCGGACGCGTATTAGTAAGCTATGCTTCCGTGTGAGTAATCCTGTTACATATCTACCAAGGTAAGATACATTCGCATTATTAGATTGAGACAGCAGTCTCTTGAAACCTGTTTACAACCCTGTGTCTTTTGATTCTACCATGTACGCACTATTTATTGCAAACCTCTTTCCTTAACACCTTGGCTGATCATCCTAACCATGCCCCAACCGTGTCAAGCAAGGTAACATGGATGGTGCAGTGGGTAGATCGTTGTAAGATTACACTAAGAATACTGCAAGGCAACACTTCCATGGATCCGCTGACTCATGACTGACAACTGGTACAGTACTGCGTCAGCAGCTGATTGGATAGAGTGGAAACCGATACCTTAGGTACCGTATTACCTTATGCATGCTTTTATTCGCATAACCAATAGAGAGGTAGAGTCTCCGGGATAATAGGGCAGCTCTTATTCCCTTCATACTTTGTATTTCGCGCCATTTCTCTTAGAACTGGGCTCGGAGTTAAACTGGTTTCGCTCTGGGCGGATGCGACATGATGAAAGCATCTCATTAGCATTTGCAAGTTCCGCAAAATCATGAAGCTGATTAGCTTCAGAAACCACGAAGTACCCCAAAGGTCCGCCTCCAGGACTGCCGTCATTGCAGCGGGTCAACCACATACAGCCACTACACCACAGGAACTACCAGAAAGTTCAGCGGAAACACCAAGATCACCGGCTGACGAGCACGGCAAGTCATATCGGGCATATTCACATGTTACAGCAGTCACAATGACCCCGGCTGGCTACGAGCTGGAATTCTGTGCAGACACTGCTTCATCTATATTAATGATATCCAGACAAATTCTACAACGATACTGGCCTCAGGTCTAACCATTAACCAACCCCTTCGAGCTCTTATATGGCGTAACCCCGAAATCTGAATTCTCCCCACCGACAGATAACAGAATGGCAACTGCTGACGAGTTCATTGCTGAGCGCAACAGAGTGAGGAGCGAAGCGGCAGACGCCATGCAATACGCGCAAAGCTGAATGGCGTTCTATTTTGATCACAAACACAAGCCCATCGAGCTTAAAGGGCAAGCGTACATTCATCTTACAAGGAAACCCAGTCATGTTGGATACTCCCTTCCAGGCTCCACAGTCCTGTCGCCCGTGAAACTAGGGCCATTCAAAATCCTTCAGCGGATTGGGAACTTGGCTTACGAGCTGGACATCCCGAAGACATTGCGCATCCACCGCGTCATCTCCGCGATTACAAGCCCCGGATGATCCATGGCAGCAGCCAATATCTGCTACAATTCCCGAGGAAGTACACTAGTTGACATTGCCTTTCAAAGTCGAGCAAATCTTGGATAAGAAGCTGATGGCAATTCGACGCGGCTCCAAGCGCAAGATTTGGTTTTACCTCATCAAACGGAGAAATGTCAACGAGCCTAGCTGGCAACCAGCCGCCATTGTATCCGCTCAGAGCCCCGTGCTGGCTACGCAATTCGAAGCCCACCAAGGCAATCCACAGCAATACCAACAGGACAGCCCGGATATTCACGGAACCTCCAACATACCCATGAACCAGCTACAATTCGACCCTGCCGCTCCACCAATGCACGAAGGAAATAACGGGACTTCCGCCAGACCAGAGCATGAGCCCACGACCTCACGACCAGGATACAGCGGAGATGCCACAACACAGAGTTGCCGAGACTCCCCCGCGGATCCTTGACGCCGTCAACTCGGCAGAGCAAGTCTCCAGACCTCTCGACCAGGTAGCCAGGGACGCACTGGCTATTCTGGATTGGCACTGAAAACTTCATGTACCTAGTTCCATATATCTAAGCTATTTTTAGAACTATTCACTACCCACACGACCACGACCTCGTTACTAAGCATCCATTAGTGAATATCCAACATCACATTAAATTACTTCCCACACCGGTCTCTGCAATACATTAGGCCTCACCTATCTCTCGCCTTTGCAACACCTTCATCCACTCTCACCTTCGCAACATCCCCTCCATTCTCTCATGTCATCTTCCGATTCTGAACCCGCACTGCCACCAGTCATTCGAAATCTCCGAAATTACATTAACATGGTGCGCCCAAAGAAAGAGAAAATAAAGGAGATACACCATTTACTTGGATGACGCCGCTACACTTCGCAGAGATCTAGAAGAATGGTTCCTTGGCCAGGCAGATAATGCACAGCTCGATTGGCACCACCCGCACAAGTGGCCACTCTCAGGAGAGTTGAAGAAACGGTTGAAAGAGCTTCTGGTCAACCTGGGCGGCAATCACAAAACACCCCCGGAGTACATTCCACCAAAGAAAGCCAAGCCTAATACAGGCAATATCTCCTAGACACACCGCAAGCCAATGGTTCTCAGCAGGTCGAACCATGATTAACACATCCCCGCGACTTTCCTGCTTGCTATCACTTCTGCCCGCATCCACTCGAATTCCTGACAGTTCTTCTATTCCTGGCATTTTCCAGGTCGCGTCTGCTTCTGACAAATCCGTCTGCTTTATAAAAGCATCTTCATGATGATGCTGAAAAGCTATAGCGGCACTGGTGTAGTCAACCACGAACACGACAATCCAGCGGTTAAGCAACTATACCAGACGCTTTCCGGTGACTTCGGTTGCTCAAGTTATGTCGCCCTTAAAGGACTCAACCAGGCAATCCCACTCCGCCAAGGGATCAAATCAGTTGCCCCAAAGACTTGCGCAAAGTGCCAATCCACAGATGGTCCGTGGACATGGCAGCCTGAGGCTATATATAGTGCTGTTAGATTATGTATAAGCTGCTTCAGTGCTTGCTGGGCCTACAAATGCCAGCTATATTCAAAAACATTTACTGAATTGCGGGATCTCAAGAAGCATCGGCAGACATCATGTGGATGGGGAACGCGGAAAAGGAGATGCCTGAATTGCGCAAAATCCAGGTTAAAATGTGGAATGAAAAAGCCAGTCTGTGAACAATGCACATCAAAGGGGTGGAATTGCCAATATCCACCATCAGCGTACATCACTAGACCTGAGAGGGAGGCCACTAGTGCAGCTGACGATGCAACAAAAGATTATACACCACTTCCTGATATACAGGAATCTGCAGTCACCACTGCAAATCCAGAACCTGTGTCTTTTATGACTGAATCTGGCCCAGCTGCGGCATTGCCGTTGCGCCCACCAGTTCAAGCTATAACCAACCCCGAAACTGAGTTCAGCAACCTCCTGCGGAGAGTCTGTCTTCGATTGACCAAAATAGTACTTCCATACTGACCCAGATATGGGCTGGTATACCCGGATCAGTCACCAGCCCTGTTATTATTACGGACACATACCAGCTATTGCAGAAGCTACGAAACTTCATCACGGATGAGCTTGATATGCAACTCCTTAGGACCTTCTGAAACGGCAGCCATATGAGAAACTAGTGTTGAGGACTATTTATAAACCTTGTCCGGATTTCCATGGTCTTGATAAAGTGGACTTTCTTTTATTTACAGCACTAGTGCTGGAGTAGCCACCTGCACCAGCTAGCTTGATGATATGCCTATTGAGCATGCTTATAGTCTTTAGAAGATCAATCTAGATTGCTGCAAACTGCCAAGGCTTCTGCGGCTGGCACTTGGCATGCAAAGGACTGTTCCATAGGTCCTGGCAATATGACAGGACCATGGCACCCAACCCCCATGATATTAAGGACACCTCGTGACATTTCTTCTGTTTTAAGGAAATGCATACAAAACCATAGCAGAATGGTATAACCATGGAGAGCAGAATGTTAAATAACTAAGAAGATGATTAAATTGGTATCTCATAAACTTAGTATGAATCCATATGTATAGCTGTCCATCGTACGTTGGATGATTCTCTACTGTTCACTCGCATTGGTATGACTACTATACTGGCATTGATATACTGGCATTAATATACTGACATTGATATCCCTACTATGCTAGTATTTCATACGAGAAGGTAGTTTGACTGTAAATACTGCCGAATATGGGTCCCCGTAGCTACAGGCAGCCTTTGAAGCCATCGATCAACGGCTACCAAGTTACGTTGTAGGCAAAGCAAGCTGCCGACTTAGTTTGAAACGCTCTTGTAGTAACTTGAAGTAGTAGGATTCTGACCCTGCAGCTGGTGGATGACTGGACATCTATAATACTAGGATATGGAATTAGACTGCACTCTTTGCACGCTGGATTGTTGAGTGGATTGTGAAAGGACGCTCCAGTGTCTATTTGGAAACTATATATGTGCGACACAAGAACTAAAGCCACTGCTAGGTGACATAGGAAAACCCCGCAGACGAAGACCGTCTCATGATACTGAATATCAACACCCGTTATCATAGAGGTTGCCCAGTGCCAGGTTCGGTCCGGTCTTATTGCTGAATCCCAACCGGATGAGCGTCTTCTCACCCGCCTCATATTGAGGCCATCCATCATATCGCTCTAGTCCGGAGACAGGATCTCGAGCGAATGCAGCCCACGCACCACGCATGTACCGTCCGATGGCGACTTCCTCGGCCGTACTGGCAATGAGATCTTGTGCAACCGTGTCGAAGAGCACCGGCACCTCGGAGGAGTGGTATGCTCCGCTGGGCGCCTTCGTGGAGAGCATCATATTCGGGAATACGCCGGAATAGCGGTATCTCCAAGTCGGATTGCCCTGCTGAACGGAGACATTGGCTCGTGCAGCTGCCGGACAGTCAAAGAGAGCCTGATCCTGCTGGATCCATTCGCTATCAGCTAACGGCTCGTCCACATAGACGCGAAACAGGCCATTTTCAAAGTTGGTGGTCCCAATGAGCATGGGAACGGCAGCCGCTGGGCGATCCGTGTAGTTGCTGAAGACGAGGACGTCGTCGGCGGCCGGGCTATAGGGCAGGTTGGCGGTCGTGGCCATGGTGTTGACGAGGTGACGAGCTATGTCCCCAGCTGGCTTGGTCATCATGCAGTCGTAGATTTGTTGATCATGTGTGCTCTGGTCTCCGCACCCGAGTGCCTGTGAAGTGTTGAGCCAGAACATACGGGCCTACTCAGCGGTGCGGCCTCCGATGCGAGCTACATTACCGGATTGCACAATCAGGGCATGGACGATAGGGTCGTCCTTCCAGGCGTATGAATAGTGGTCAACAGAGGTACCGCCGGCGGACTCTCCGAAGAGAGTGATTCGAGACGGGTCACCCCCAAAGGCAGCGATATTGTCCCTCACCCACTCGACTGCTAAGCGTTGATCCAATAGACCTAGGTTGAAGCTGCTTGGTGAATTTCCGGGGAAACCGAAGAAGCTGAGGCGATAGCTATAACGAAAAATTAGCATATGGCTGCAAAAGAAGCGTGGAATGGATGTCTGACTTGATAGAGACAAGGACAATGTCCTCTTGGTCGGCAAAGAACTGGCCATTGTACATCAGAATTGCCGAACTTCCTGACCCGGGTGAGCAATCGACGCTGCGATTGTCTAAGGACGATACACGTACCGGAGACGAAGGTCCCTCCATGTACCCAGATCATCACTGCCTTCTTCTTCTCGCCGGTCTGCGGCTTCGTCCAGACATTCAGGGTAAGACAATCTTCACTGAACGTCAGATTAGGATGCCCTATCTCTGCCAAGAACTTTTTGCCGACCCTGGTGACCCCGTATTGCTCAATGAGCTTGTCTGGCAGTCGGTCATCGTACGCCGTCTGATTCGAAGAAATGCATGCGGGACCCTGTCATGGTCAGCTCCTGTGGTTTCTGGCGCTTTGAGTGGTAAAAAGGGCGCTCCCTACGAAGGTCTCGCCACTAATCGTGGTATTCCCCCGATACCTGACAGGAGACTGGAATCGCAGGTTGCCTACTGGCGGCAAAGCGTACGGAATGGAGAGATACTCCGACACATTGCTAGCATGAGGAGCGGCATGTCCTTGGACCGGCCCGCTGGAGGTCTGAACTGTTTGTCCGACAGTCCACCGTGCTTGTGGGCTGACGGCATCGCAAGGCACAGAAAACATTAGTCCGGCTATGACGCCGAAGACGACTGGAAGAGAAGATCTGTACATGATGAGGTATGCTCAGATCTTTTGAGAAAGACGTGCTGTGGAGCATCTCACAAGTGTACCTTCGGCCGCTCAAATGCGCTTTATATGCCTGTCGGACAGACAGCGCTACAAGACTCCATTAGCATGATATCCAAATCGTGGGCAATATAATCCGATCCAGCCGGAAGATCGTCTTCAAGATCGTATTCGCAACCATGCCGCGATGAACGAACACGAGAGTCAGGCACCACCATTTGCCAATTGGCTGCTGATAAAATCTGCCCTAGTATTTGAGAATATTGAGACCGAACCGGTAGCGGTCAGGATTGTCCTCATGAAGAGTGACATGATTCATCGTTGTGTTGCTTTCCCGTGTGCTTCCACCGATCCTCGAACATGGGGACGAGGATGGAGAGCAAGGGTTCTCCCCCGAAAGGACCGAGCAGGAATCCAGTGCAGGCAACAACGCAATGGAAATATGTTATGAAGAGGAGTAATAAGACACTGCAAGATTGCATCATCCCTTTCGGCAAATCTAAAACAATGTCCAGCCAAACGATCATTTTCGACCCACACAAAGTGATGAACGAACACGAACACCAGGGCTTCAGCCTTTGGCCGATTAGAATGGCTGCTGTGAGATTCTATGAACTGATGATGTAGCTCAGTTTGCAAGCGGTGTAATGCGTAGAAGACAGACGCACAAATAGCAGTAACTGTGGCACTATCGTGAGCTGGAGAAGGTCAGTGTAGAGTCATCTTTCCTCAAACACTCTCCCAAGTTCTAGATAGTCGATAGACACAAGAGCAATGCTTAGTTGACATGCTCAAACTGGGATTGATTGTTATGAAATTGCACTGAAGCCCCGCGGGCCCCACCAGTGTTGACATGCTTTGCCTGCATAGACATGATGAATTTTGTTGTCTTGATCATGAGAATTTGCGGGCCGTCATTATTATCCAAAACACGGCCCTCGAGCATGGAGACAGCTCTCTTCTGAGCCCTTGCGCAGTCAGCAATCATGAGAACGCAACAGACTCAGAGACATCAGAAGATACATCATGTCCAGCAAGATCACGAAGATGATTGGTCGTCTGTCCTTTTCAGCATCGGCGTCCGAAATGAGTCTAGTGCTGGCATATCAGACTGACTCTTATAGGCTTGTTGCTTTTGTCCTCTCTGGTAGATTCTTATTATCGTGTCTGTCCGTAGGCTCAAGAAACTGAACCTCGCAGGATGAGTACCGAGATATGCATCCTGCATTTCAACGATGTCGTACGTCTCCATACAGTCCTACATTTAAGGACTCTTGCTAAGGAGTAGTACCACGTCAACGACGTCGAGCTCATATCTCGCTTCGCCGGCTTGATCAGATCGTTCGAACCCAGGCCATTGGTAATCTTCAGCGGCGATGTCTTCTCGCCTTCCTTGGAGGCCTCCCTCCTGAAAGGAGAACAAATGATCCCGTTCTTGAACTACCTCAATGTCGATGTAGCCTGTTACGGGAACCATGGTCTGGGATGTCCATGCCGTGAACGTCCACAAATAGGCTGACATGTCCAGACTTTGATTTTGGGGAAACGAGACTCGTAGAACTGTCACGCAAAGTGGAATTCCCCTGGGTCTTATCAAACGCAACTAGAGTGACTGAGGACGGGGATGTCTCGAGAGAGCCTCTTGCCTGTGGTGAGCGGTATATCATCAGGACTGTGCAGGGGTACAAGGTCGGATTTATTGGCTTGGCTGGGACGTAAGGAAGGAACTCTGCACAGTGTTCTCTGCTTGGATCACTGATTGAGCTACCTGCCCAGAGATTGGCCGTCAAACTGCCAGAACTTACCCCCGTTGTACATAAAAGACCCCGCCGTGGTCGCTCAAGAGCTCGCCAGACACCTGCGTCTCAACGAGGGTTGTGACTTTGTGATCGCTATCTCTCACTTACGACTCGCCGAGGATATCAGAACAGCAAATGCTGCAGCGCACGGGGTCGCCAAAGTTGACCTGATCCTCGGGGGTCACGATCACGAGGTCCTTCATCGCTTCCATGGGGACACAGAGGAGGACTCGGAGATAATCCAACAGGGCACGACAAACGAGGAGATATTGTCCAATGGCGTAGTTGACCAGGTAGCCGGAGACATTCGCATCGTCAAAAGCGGGACAAACTGGCGAGGCTTATCCATTGTCCGCTTAATCGCAAGGAGACTTCCAGACGGAAGAGCCATAATAGAAACCGTCAAACGTAAGTACCACGGCCGGCAACTCCGTCAATCTAACCAGCTCCAGTCAAGCAATACGTCGACATCGCGCAGAGTTCAGAATGCGGCTCACTCTCAGTCTGCCCCCGTATACGCAAAATGGCAGCCGAGATCCAGCAGCGTGCTGGCAGCGTTGTCCAGAAGCCACTCGTGCACACGGCGACACCGCTCGACGGCCGCTGCAGTGTGATTCGCAGCTCAGAGACGAATCTACGCAATATGCTCGCAGACGCCTATCGAGCCTACTACGGTGCCGACATTGCACTCGTCAACAGCGGCTCAATCAGATGTGATCGGATCATCGAACCAATATTATCACCGCTCCGTGTCAAGGATATCATCGGTTAGTCCCGACACTGTCGTCGACCGGTAACTCTCTCATGAAGTAATCTAACCCTCTAGAAATCTGCCCCTTCGAGAACCCACTGGTTGTCAAACGAGTCAGCGGACACGCCCTCCTCGAGGCCCTCGAAAACTCCGTCTCAGACCTCCACGTCGACGGACGATTTATGCAATGCTCTGGTCTACACATCGTCGCTGACTGGCAGCAACAAGAGGGCCACAGGATCCTGCAACTGTCTCTCATGCAATCACCCTCCATGCCAGCGAAGCGGATCCTCCCATCGCAGATATACACCGTCGTGATGTCGTCGTTTATCGCGGCAGGGTTTGACGGGTATACCTGTTTTCAGAGCACAGAGACACTTGTCGACAAGGAGACGGCTGTGACGGATACCGGGTTACTCTTGCAAGTCTTTGGGTATGATAAGGAGGGATTGAATGATGGCGATACCACCGGTATAGATAGAGCACGGAGGGCTATCGTCTGTGGGATGGATGGGCTGGACAATTTGCCAGTTGTGAGTGCAGTCGTTGAGGGGAGGATTCGATTCGTCACTTATCTCAGAGATAGCATTTGACTTTGTTCATGATTCACGTACAGGAACAGAAAGGTAGACGGATGATTGAGACAGAAGTAATGGCAGATATTGTTGGTTTTTACAGCTCTCTAAGCATACCCGAGACTGTATGCCTAGTCCGAAAGGGAAATGTTGATAGTAGTGAGACATCAGAAGACATTGAAGTCTGATCAACACAGAAACATCAATAGCTGTTCATCTTGAGAGACAGCTTTACGAGACAGAGTTGCACACAGTAAATGATTTCCATCCGCACAGATTGCCACTTGATGAGTCTCCTGTGGGCAGTCAAGAACATGCTTCATTTATGTCCTATCTGGTTACAAGGTCAGGCAAGAGCGAAAAAGGGAAGATGTGTTCCCCTGGTTCGAACCTGAGTTCAGAGAGAAAAAAAGGTTTGTCAGGAACAGTTTTTGTTTAAGCTGTCATTGTTCCCCTGGCCCACAGAGCTCAAAAGCTGGTAGGAGCACAAGCAACTTATATCCTCAACTGCCAAGGGCTATACATATCTTATAGTACTGTATACGGCTGACCTTGTAGAAATGCTCATCAAACAATGTAATCACATTAAACAGCTACTGCATACTGTGTCATTTTGCTCCTGAACTCATACCAAAGTACTAAGGACAACAACTAACTGCTCCTCATTAAGGTCAGGCAAGAGTGAAAAAGAAAAGATGTTCCCTGGTTCGAACTTGGGTTCAAAAAGAAAAAAAAGTTTGTCGGGAATGGTTTTTGTTTAAGCAGTCATTGTTCCCCTAGCCCACAAAGCTCGAAAGCTGGTAGAGTCGAGCACAAGCAAATTATATCTTCAACTGCTAAGGGCTATATGTATCTTGTAGTATGGAGACAGCTGACTTTATAGAAACCTTCACTGTCAAACAATGTAATCACATTAAATAGCTACTGTGTACTGAGTTGTTTTGCTCCTGAACTCATACCAAAGTATCAGAGCCAACTAACTGCTCCTCATTTCTAGATACTAAGGCTGTTCTACTCAGGACCACTCCTATACATCTGTCCAGTTGCAATCCTGTCCATCTATACTATCTCTATTACGTATACGTCTAGTATGGTATAGCCCATAATCTAGTACCTGTATATTCCTTCTTAGCCTAGGTTTATAAATACCGTCTTAATCCCTCTCCTGCATCTCTTCTCTTCATCTCCTCTTTACCGTCTGCCCGGCATGGCTCACCAGTGGTCACTGCTACCTCCGTTTCATCAGACATAACTGATATCACCTCATCGATGTCTTCTATTTCTCTACGTCCATTAAGACCTAAAACCTCTACTGCAGATCCTCCACCAACATCCATTCCTGCCGCGCAAATTGTGGGAAAACCTCGGAAACAATGGTCTTCATCTGGTGCCCAAATAGCTTCACGAATTCCAGACTAAAGCATTGTGATTCCTGTCGTCCGGTTGCCGTGAGGATCAATCTGCTGCCATCCCCCCGGTACGAGGGTGCTCTGCCTGTCATACTGAGCTACAACCATATGAACTTCTCACCAAATGCTCCGAGTGTCGATTTACAACCGGTGAAGCTATTCAGGATGGCTAATTTACAATGCATATTAAACACGTATCGACAGTCTATTTACTGAGTGCTGTGCACTCCAACGCGCCTTGACCCCGGCCAACAATGCACGCAGCGTGTAAATCCTGCACAGATGCACAGTATTGCTTGTGAAAGTAGACCCGCGCGCCCAATCTACTGCTGCTTCTTGGCTTCGTGGCTCTTTGCCTTTGTGATGAGACTCAAACCAACCTCGGCAGACTCCTTCCAACCTCTCTGTCTCATCCAGAAGCGCTCGGTTGGATCAGTCCCCTGCTTGGACCAGTTTCTAGCATCCTCTTCCAAGGACTCGCGAGTGATATCAGACGGCGGGACGGAAGATACGACACCCTTGACCTCGTCGGCATCGTCGTCGCTCTCCGTACCGAGAACAGATTCGAGGTATCTCTTCCGCATCATGAAGCGCTCTGCCCGTTCGCGTCGTGTGTTCGGAGGCTCCAGCTTAGCCAGGGCACTTCGCACGGCGTAGCGCACGATCAGGTAGAGATGCTCGGAGAAGAAGATCGTCAGCAACAACGCCCAGCACCGGATTGTCGTCGGCTCGCCGTTAGGGCCCTCATGCCCGTTACTGAACATATAGACAAGGGCTGCGCTGGTAATGCTTCCCACCCAGGACAGGAATCCTAGGCTGTCCAGCCAAGGTCCAATGGTATCCGCACGCTGAGGCCAGGGCCTCTTGCACTCGACGCAGATCTTGAAGAAATCCGAGCGCAGCTCGACCCAGTTGTTGATTAAAAAGGAGACAGGAACAAGTGGCCACACGGGGGAGAACAGAGCCAGATATCCGAACTGGATACACATCTCCCGCAGATCGTCGGTGACATCATAGTCCTCCAGCTCAGCTTCGTTGCGAACGCGAGTGAGGAATTTGGCCTCATCTTCGTCGTCGCCGAGGGAGACGATCTTCTTCTCTCCCGCACCGTTCCCTGACTCTGCCTTTGCATGTTGTTTCTTGGTATATTCCTTATATTCGCGGAATACACGTTGCCTGATGAACGGAACGATAGTTTCAAGCGCGAAACCGACAATCTGGGCAGTAACGGTAAAGTAGATGACCTGCTTTCGCAGCCGATCCGGATCAATGGTGAATTCAGTTCGTGCCTTGGTTGCATGCTCTTTGGACACGAACGGCCGAACAGTAAGATGGAATACATCAAGATAAGGCACGATACGGCTGGCGAATGGTAAATAGACGAAAGCTGTCAAGATGATAGGAAGGTATGAGGTGATGAAGTTGACAACAAAGATTTTTTGTGTCAATGCCACCTTGTAGGCATCCTGAGTCTCGTAGTTCTCATAGTCATTCAATTTGGTCGCAACAGTCAGCAGAACCGCACTCATGGTCGGTACAAGCGCCGATACCAAGATGGTAGGAATGAACACCTAGATCCTTAGCTATCAGGCTGAGAAATGCCTGGGGTGGCACTTACCAGGTAGCCCTTGAGTGGACCGTTGTAGACCTCGGAAATGAAAATCTCAATCGCAAAGCAGGTAGCAATGATGGCACCTAGGGCGACGGCTGCAAGCAATGCGAATGGAACTTGGAGGAGCTGCCGATACATCCGCCTTGTGGCGGGAAAAACTCCTCGAACCTCGCCGGTGCTTTCATCACGAACTTCCTTTTCGGGCTTGAACTCTGCTCTCTTTTCCTGAACCGCAGAAACGCCCTTGGTCTGCCACCGACAACTGAGATCCTCCTCCTGACGCTTCCAATACTCAATAAAGATAATGCACCAGAGACAATTGACCACGGTGTAGACGATAGAGAACGAGCCCAACAACAGCCAACAGGAGAAGCCGAATGCCGCGGGGAACATCAAGAACCGAAAATACGACTGCAAGAAGGCAAAGTAAAAGCCAACCTGTAGCCTCCCGTTAGCTTAGCGGCATCTATAAACCAACGACAAGCTCACATGTTCTCCAAACGTATTGCGGATCCGATCCAGGTCCTCAGTTGACAGAAACGTCTTCTTGCTCCACTCCCTCATGCACTGCCTGTTTGTCTCCTCGTCGTGCAGCGGAAAGATCGCGTCGACATTCTTCCACTCTCCATGTCGGGGGGTGATGCCCGCACCACCCTCTGCCTTTGGAACCGTAATCAAGTGGTAGATAACACGAAGCCGCTCAGCTTCCGACTGCGGCTCCGCTGAGCTCGCCGGTTCGGGTTCGGCATTCCGGACGCCATACAGCCAGTCTCGAACGCTTTGAAACCACAAAAGGTTAGCATACAACCTCTGGAAAGCATAATGCTACATACCGAGACTGGTAGACCGCGCGTTTCAGCTTCTTCTTGCTAGCGGCCCGCACAAAAACAAACAGGTAGTTCTCGTCCCCCTGTCGAACTTCCGTCTGCAATCCTACCTCAGAGAGCTCAAGGAGAAGCACCTCAAATCTTTTGATTGCTTGACGGGCATCTAAAACAATCAGATCGCGGCCCACTTGCTGCCTCAGGGCGACCTACCGATATCCCCTTTAGTGAAGCGAATGACGTAGTCCACATGGTGATTCTCCTGAATAGCCTTGGGAGGCGGATTGAAAGCCATAGTCTAGTATCTTGGACAGTTTTACGATAGCATGAGGGACGGTGAGGGTAAGACTATAGTCCGTATGAATATTTTGGTTTGACGCGAAAGGGGAGCGAGCTGGAATTGTCGTCACCGCATAATGCGCTCTGACCAGGTTGACTGGCGATGACGACATCCCCGACGTTGCTGGCCTAGGGTTAGCCCTAACTGCTGCTGAAAGGGGACATAGCGTTCAACACTCGATCTCTACAACGGGAGCGATATACTTGATATCTGCAGATTGTTCTTGGCTATCATCAAGTGAACCGATGACGGAGGCGGAATAACGAAGACGCAAGATGTTGAATGATATACCACTGGCTCAAACGCAAGAATCCAAGGGTATCACGCTCGACTATCGACGAAGGTACAATCTACCTATATACGAAGCACACCAAGGTTTGACAGGATAACACCTGCTACCAAAGCGTCGCAAGTCGAATGAAGATATGCAACCAGCTCATTGAGGCCCCTACAGTTCCTCCGCCAACTTATTCAGCGCCGGCCCCTCGACCATCATCTTCATCCACTCCTCCATAGCCTGAGCCCCAACCTGCTTGTAGAACTTGATGCTCGGCTCATTCCACTTGAGGACACTCCACTCTAAACGGCGACCCTTCACTTCCAGTACCTTGGCAGCCAGGTACTTCAAAAGCTTGAATCCGTACCCGTTGCCTCGGGCGCTAGGCTGGACGTAGAGATCCTCGAGGTAGATTCCCGGAGCCGAACGCCATGTCGAGTAGTTGTAGAAGAACAGGGCCATGCCAACGGGTACCGGAGATGGGTTCTCTGCTGTGGCGGGAGGGATAACGAGGGCTGTGTAGACGGAGCCTCGCTTGGGGGTGTCATTGGGGAAGGAGAGCGTGGCTAGGAGGGATTCTTCCGTGGCTTCGACCTCATGGAGGGCCTTTTCGTAGTCGGCTAGCTCCCGGATGAATTGGAGGATGTAAGGAACATCTGCGATCGCGAACAAGGTCAGTAAGGGGCCGTGGTACCTTCTCGCAACGATGGCCGACCTATGCGGAGAAACATTGAAGGAAATGCGGGGTGAACTTGCCCTCGGGATTTGCCAGTCTGATGGTAGCTTCCCCGGACATTGTGATAGCAAGGGTTTATAAAGGTACCGAGTATGAGTAGCTTCTTTGGACAGCTTTGCAATTGAGCAGAGTGCAGGATAAAGATGTTAAGGAAACCGGTCAGTCGATGTTCCTATTTAAGTGGCCGAAGAATAAAATCTCGGCCCCGAACCCCACCGGTTCTGGAACTATACCGACCGCACGGCACGCCCTGCCGATGACATCTATGGAGTATACACATATGGAATAAGGAAGACAAGACTATGTGCTCTTTGAATGTCAAATTACAAACACACTCAAAAGACTAGGAGATAGCCGAACTCGGGTCCATGCTAATCATCGAGATGTTATGGCAGCCATCCACTTTTGCTCGTCCGCTCTGTTCGTAGGTGTCAGCATCAACTCCGCCAGCTAAAGGAATAGGTTTACCAACCGATCGAAATGAAGCAGCATACCCAAGACCGGAATCAGCTGCTTCTGATAGTTCTTGTCCTTCTGTTCCAAGAATTGCAGGAGCACATTCTTCAAGTAGATGTAGTCAATCGGTGCTCCCGTCGGCGTTTCGCTCCTCCGCGTCGATGGACTACGGTCCTTCGACACGGGAGATGCCACTGCCTTTCTTGTTCCTGAGTCAATCGATGAACGCGAGGACTGAGGGTTCTGGACAGCTCGAGTTTCGTCCGATAGCACCCGGTTAGATTTGCGAAGCTTCTCCAGTCGGCCATTCGTTTCTTCCACTGAACGACGCAGCTCGGCCTTCTCTTTCTCCAAATCACGGACTTGCTTCTCGCTTTCATCTAAAGCGTCACGTAACCGTGCCATGGCCTGGCGGATGTCGTTTAGCTCCTGCGCTGAGCGCTCCGACTGTTCCTCGAGTTGATCCCGTCTGCGCTTCCAGTCCTTTTGGGATCCCTCAAGCTCGTCCTTGTCCTCCTCCGCCGTTCTCAGTGCTTTCTCGGCTTCCCGAACCTTGGCTTTGAGCTCCTCTAGCTCTCTGGCCCGGCGCCGACCCTGAGCGCTGGCCTCGTCTTCTGCCCGATCGCGCTCTTCAATGGCGGCCTCCATCCGCTCCTTGAAGTCGCGCACCTTGGCCTCGGCACGGCCCTCAATATCGTTGAGCAAGCGCCGCATAGTTTCACCCTCACGTGTCCGCTCGCTCAGCAAGCGATGAGCATCAGCCAGTTCTTCTTCCAAGCTCTCACAGCGTTCCCGGGCCTCCTTCATTTGCATCGCTAGCTCAGCACTTTGGTCGCGCATACTGTTCATCAGACTCTGTGCGCTGGCGTGCTGTGCGGTCTTCAACTGGATTTCCTCCCTCAGACCACCAAGCTCCTTGTTCAATTGAGTGAGCTTGTTTTCAACCTCCCGCAGCTGAGACCGAGCGGTCTTGAGCTCATCTTGCGCTCGGGATAGGTCTGCTGTAATTTTCTCCTTTGTTTCAACGGCTTCCTGCTTTTTGCTCTCTGAGTATCGCAAGTCAGATTGAGCAATGGTCAGATTCTCCTCGGCCTTGAGACGGCTGTCTGTCTCCTGTCTGATCTTCTGGTTGAGGGTCTTCACCTCGGCGTCGCGCTCGGAGATTGTAGACTTGAGTGTCTTCACTTCGGCACGTAACTCCTCATGTTTACCCTCCAGGGTCCTCAATTCAGATGTCTTACTCGCCAGGGCCTCCTTCGTCGACTTCAGTTCCGAGGATTCCGCCCGCAGGCTCTTCAATTCTGGTTGCAATTTCTGCAAAGTCTCGCGCAAATCAGTCAGATCCTTGAACCTGGTAGCAGCCAGTTGCTGAGCGGCAGAGAGCTCCGTCTCGAGGTTGGTGAGTTTGACTTTGAGGTTTTCGTAGTCCTCCTTCAGATCAGTGTGCATCTGCTTGGAGTCTGCGCTCTTGGAGGCATGACTCGTCCGTATATCGGTCAATTCCTTTTCCAACTTGGAGACCGTCTCCTCTAGAGCCTTCTTTTCTGCAGTTAGTTCCTTGATCTTGTCCTTCGCTTCGACATGATCTTGGCCAAGGTGAAGTAGATCGTCGCGTAAGGATTCAATTTCCTCTTTGAGGTCCTCCTCTCCTTTAAGTTTGGAGCTCAGACGCTCGATTGCTGCCTCCTTCTCTTCCAGCTGCTGTGTCAGCGTCTGGATCTTTTGCTCGAGTTCGGCCAACTTCGAAGCTGCTTGATCGGACTCTGCTGCGTGCGATTCCTTGTCCTCGAGCACAGCGGCACCGGTAGCCTTGGCTGTATCTTCTCCGCCTTTTCCGCCCTTCTTCTTCTTGTTCCTCTTCTTTTTACCCGCACCCGCGCCACCGGTTGAGCCATTTACTGGGGGCTCCGGCTGTGTAGCCACATTGCCACCCCCCGATTCTTCTTGAGGAGGTGCCAGGCTCTTTCGGAAATGGTCAAAGTCGGGGGGCTGTCCGCTCGCGGCTTGATCTCTGGTTTGCTGCCACTCGGCGTTGTCTTTCAGGTTGTCGTCTAGATAATCAACGATGTTCTGCAGTTTGCCCAGCTCCTCGACTTTACAACCCATGTCAGCCTTAAGATCCGACACCACTACTTCCGTGTCTTTAAGCTGAGACCGCAGGTTGTCCACGAGGCCTTGGAGAACTCCCAATCTTTTCTCGCTAGCATCTTTCTCCTTGGCGACCTCCTCCAACTTTTCCTCCAACTCTTTTTGCTGGTCATTGTCCTTCGACTGCGTGACTTGATCCTGAAGCTTCTCAATTTCTTCCGTCTTCTGCTTCAACTCAGCCTTTAGTCTCTCCGCCTCCGCGCTTGCCTTGGCAATGGCATCCTCAGATGCTGCGAGCTTGGTTTTGAGATCGTCAACCTCCGCCTGCTTGGCATCCTTCAGCTCCTTGATTTCCGAATCCTGTTTGTCTCTAATATCTCTCAATTCCACGAGCTCGCGAGTTGAGGATTCAAGATTTTGCACCATGCCCTCCGTTGACTCACGAGCGACAGCAAGATCGCGCTTGAGCGACTCGACCTGCGACTTGAGAGTTTCAACCTCTTCCTGCTTCTCCTTCAGCTCAGACTCCAGCCGGGGTAGTTCATTATCGAACGAAAAGAACTCCTCGCTTTCTTCTTTCACTGGCGGTTCCTTCTTTGAGGCGGTATCTTCAGCAGCGGCGGTTTTCTCCTCCTTGGCGCCTTGGGTCGTGTCCTTCTTGAGATTGGCAACCTCGTCCCAAGCCTCCCTTGTCGACTGCTGCGCTTCCTCCAGCTTTTTCTTGTAGTCGTCCCTTTCCGTAGTGACTCTCTTGAGCTCCTCAATCACCATGTCCCCTTTCAATCTGATCTGATTCAAGTACTCCGTGAGAGCTTTCGGATCGGCGATCGACGTCAGAGGAGTGTTTTCTCGTAGTGCGGCTTCGAACGGTTCGATCGACAGGACACGTGCATGGGCCATACGGTACGCTTTGAGTAATTCTGTGTGCAAAACAAGGTCAGCCGCACCACCGCAGCCATATCCGCGGGCTGTATGTCGAACCTTGATACCGGGATTCCAACTTGGTCAGTCTGCGTAACTTGACTCTGATCTCCGGCGGCAGCTCCGACGACAGTTGGTTTCCCTCCGCCGTAGGCACCTCCTTCCCAGCCGACGGCTCATCTGTAGATGGTTTGTCCTCCCCAGCGTCCTTTGCCGGCGCCATCTCCGATCCACCTGCAGACTCCAGCCGGGGGGTAACAGATCGACTAGACCCCTCATCATCTCCGATCGCGAACTCCGGCTCAAACTCGTTGGGATCAGGAGTGCGGACGGGAGTGCCTGTGTTACGCCGGGGGCGGGTAGGGCGACGAGCGGAGTTGGACCGGGAGATTACATCTTGGGAGGTTCTCTGGCGGGCCTGTTCCTCTGCGATCCGGGAATCGATCGCCTCGCGTATGCGCTGTAAATCAAGTGCGATTACGACGTTAGCTCAACAAGATAATACTCCCGATAATCGATCAAAACACACTGATAAACGTGAGACACTGTACCTGAAACATGACCGTGGAGGGCCCGCGAGCCAGGACCACGACAAAACTGACAAACGAGACACAGAAGTGAAGAAGATGAGAAAGGAAGTACAGGGAAAGAAGCAGAAGATCGAGAGGAACAATGAGAGGGATCATGAAGGGACACCTGAGACGCCTCCAGCGAATGGATATCGGGCGGCCAGATCTCGGGAGTGAGCCAAGAAGGGCAGAAAAAGGAGCAGCGAACTTACGTACCACTATCTAGATAGATACAGCGAGGAGTACGTAGGTATACGAAAGAGCTTAGGGGCTACAATTACAGAATAGGGATTTTAAGAAGTCTTATGATCGTAGATTAGATATATGGAATTTAAAGATAATGAAGCAGATGTCATTGATGTTCAAAATGTTCTTTATATTCTAAGTGATTGTCACCTCATGCAGGAGGACTCAGGCACCTTATTGCGGCTCAGCTTTCATAAAGTGTCTAGTCCAACGCCGATGAGCATACGTACTTCAATTTCAATTTCCTACTTCAAATGCCTGTCCATGTAAGGTCAAAGACTGTTTGTTGTTATCCGATTGCTGCCAAACCGCCGCTGCTGGAGTTTCGGCGAGGAGCGGTCAAATATATGTAGAAACTCACCGAAACAGACCAAGCAGCGTGGTCATAACAACCACATCTCTTGAGCTGACGGTAAATAAAGATCAAAGGCAATCTATCTTTTCTGCAGAACTGACATTCTCCTCTGTCAATCGTTGCAGGATCATTGGTGGATGAGCTCCATCTCCATGGCGATCAGTGCTAGGACGACTTGATCCCTGCAACCGTGACTCGTGCTTCTTTTTAACTCTCCTCCTTCGCCCCTCAGTTCTCCTCGCACATGAACCAGCCAAAAGACGGTCTTCTTGCACGTTTTAACATGCCTGGTTGAGGATGGGTTGCTTGACTTTGCCCTCGATACAGCAATATTACTCTCCAGCGGATCTTTTTCGCATGTGCGAATGACGTCGGGCGTTGATTGCTGGCCTCGGAATCCTGGCTAGACGTTACTAGTGGATTCT